TTACTACAGATCTATTCAACAGTTGAACTCAGGATTATCAAGTTTCGTAGTGTAACCCCTTACGTTGTTGAACCATCACGTATTAGATTTTATGGCAAAAAACCTATTTACAAATATAATCAATTGAGTACCCACTCTGAGGAAAATATAGGGGATAGTTGAGAAATTGATGACTGAATAGTTAAATATCTGGTGACATATGACATCAAAGTTTAAGTTCTGTGGTAATAAATTTGAATCATTTTTCTTTTTTGCTTAAAAACGTTATGTAGATTGTGGAAGTGTTATTCATTATTCCAATAACCAAGTGACTAAAGTAGAGTAAACGAGTGATTCAGTTAAAATGAATCTGTCCAAAGTTATAGTTGGGACACTTGAAAATCCTAAGTTTCACTTTTGGTGAAGTCGACTCCAAGTACTGTTTAGGAGACCAATATAAAGACAAAACGATTTGTCTGGTCTTTCATAGCTCATTGATTGGAGTCAGTTCATTATGTGACCTTTTATAGATTTAATCAAAATCTGCCCATGATCAATGCAATCTAATGTTTATTATGAATTTTCACTGTTACAACTGCCAACAATGATTACTTTTTTTACTTATTTATGAATATACTTTCTATGTCAATGGGTTTTCACATACTAAGCTATATTTTGACTACTTAAATCTTAAAAGTAGTAGTAAAATCGAACGAAAAATATTGACAATGCCATAGGAACAGTTTATCACAACTGGTATATCGTTGGAAAACATTTCAGCAAATCCATTAACTTGTTAGGCCGTTTATATGTACAAAGGATAAAAGCCAAACTATAAAAGAGCCCTAATAAGTAAAAATGTGGTCTTATATTTCAAAATATAAGTACGAATACATCAAATAATTCTGGTAAACTTCGTCCTCTAGATTCATTACTAGAAATTAATCAAAGGATCTGATAGTTTTGAAATCAATAATCCTAATTCCAATAAGCCTAATTCGTATGCTACTAAAGTACCTATGTATATTGAAACAAACCTGCTAGCAATTCAGCTCAACAATGTAATAATACACAAATGGGTGACTACTTAGTTGTCAAAAAGTTAAGAGTTCACGCTCGCCTGAACTTCAAGGGATCGATTTTCAGGCGCGTGGTGATGAATGAACACTTTTGGGAGGTTTTGCACTCGAAGAAAATTGTCGTTTACTTTTCCCTGGTGGTCTAACTAAGCTTAGTTTGTGACAAATACCTTCTGAAATTACACGGTTTACTGAAAATCTCCTGGAACATTTTTAGAAAAAAAATTTCTGTTGAAGTTGCGAGAGTTAATGACTAAACTTAAATTTTTGCCGAATATTTTACTACACATATCGGTATAATCTACATAAGTTGTTCTTTTTCAATAAAACAAGTTAAGATAAATGTTTATGTGAAATGGCATCTTATTGTTTGAATAAGTAAGCATGATCAGTTTACTCCAGTGTGTTCTAACAGTCATCATATATTAGCACTTATTAGTAAGGTTCGCCTATACTAAACAATCAAGATATTTCATAGATCTCTTTAGTTTCTTCTTTACAATCACAATGAAGGAAATAAAAGGGTTATTTATTAAGAATGGATAGATTAAATGTACCCCAATTCGTTATTAATCGACTTCTATACTTTTCTGAGGGAACTACGATCATTACCTTAGCAGTGATCACAGAGCCTAAAGACAAACTGATTGAGAACGGTCTGTGATGGACCAAAATATATCAATCCCAAAAATGATGACAAAGTTATTACGAAAAGAAATAATGTGTTAATACACTAAAAATAGATTGTACGCACAAGAAAAACATACCGGACGTTACTTAAATTGTTAGAAATAGGCGTGTTCGAGTTTCCCTTTTTCTTCTAGTCCATGATTATAAGTAGTAAGCAATTCCAACTATAATTGCTATAATCCAAGATGTGTATTTAGATTAAGCATATAATGAGGATATCACTGTAATCTATAAACGTAGACAGCAATTATATTGGAGTTCTGTTATCGCAACAGTGGATAATTGAGAAGAAGCATATATGTGCAGCAAAGTATTTGTGAGAGATAAACAGTGTGTCAGTTCAAAAAAGGGAACGGAAGATCAAGGGTCATGTCTTCTTCAACAACAATCTTGCAGTCCATTATGCTAATTGTACAAATTATGAGCACTAAAGAAATGTAAATCGTAGCAAAAACTAATTGCGAAATAAGTCTCTTTTAACTGTTCCTATACGATCCTTTTTGAATAGTTTATAATGTAATGTCTTTTAACTCTTAAAGCCATACAGACAATGATAAAACTTCTTGGGGTAAGTTGTACTACTTAGCTCATTGGCTATTCGACAAAAGCACCTTAATGGTTTCACACTCTAGCGATTAAACGTTATACGGCTTGGTCTTTTGACTAGATCTTACCCTCAATGGTTTAAGTACTGACATTTCATGTCAAATAATCTCAACTTCAATTCAGGTCAGATATTAAACTCTATGTTATGATTATTCCCAGATGATCACCTTAACTGTCACTACTCTGTCTAGCTTACCAATTTGGTAGAAACAATGTTGATTGATTAATCGTTTCTTAAATTTATTTTGTTTAAATGAAATTTATTGATCTGAAGAATGTTAGCACATATATTTTGATTTTTGCTAACATCCGGAAGCGCAATATTGTTATGAAGATTCACATGCTTATAACCAATTCCTTTGAGAAATGTTCTTAGTTTCCTCCTAACATTGCATAAACAGCTTGTTTTCACATAGTTTGTACAATAAATGTGCATGCTAAGCTTCTGTTTCCTATCATAAATATTTTCTAAAAAGATAAACAGTCAATATTGAATTGATTTTAGAGGTTCTCAGGGGCTTAAATGGTTCACCAAATTTATGCGATAGTGATGGATGACGCGCTTCACCATAACATTATGGCTTCAGGTTTAGCATTCACTGTTCACATGTTTTTGGTTTGCTATTCGATAAACCCCCTATTCATTAAAATTAGCTTTGTTATTTCATTTTGTTGGCTTGAATCAATGTTACATAATGGGAAATAGGTCAAGGATTAGAATAATATAGTTGCTGAAATAACATTCATAAAAATTATAAGAAGTGTCCAGATAATTGGGCCGTGAAACGTATATTTGAGAGAAAGGAAAATGATGAGAGGGGGTGAAGGGAAATGAACAAAGAAAGACTATGGAAAGTAGTAATAAATAAAATCATTTATTAAGGCCAAGGGAGAGAGATAAAGGTTTTTCAAATTTCTGATAAACACAAAGACTTGGATTGTTGGCTCGAATTCCTGTAGCTTCTGTTATGTGTAAGAGACGAGATCGAACCCCATAAAGAAAACTGGTAGGAATACGATAACTAACTTTGAATGACTTATTTCTGTCAACCATATGATCGCTATCGATCAAGTGTGAAAGAACCGAGCAGCGTATTGTCTTGACAGTAACTTTGCTTAACCTTGAAGAGAGGTGTTCACTAACTCTTTGGCTCTGTTGTCTGGTGGTGCACACAATATAGCTTTCTCCACAGGAGCAGCTGAATTCGTAGATACACATAGAAGTGGAGTAGCCAGGTAACTTATCCTTTACATGAGTAATCAAATATACGTTTCACGGTCCAATTATCTGTAAGTTTCTTATTGCGTAACCTTATAATTCTTATGAATGTTATTTCTGTGTCTATATTTTTCTAATCATTGACCCATTTCCCATTATGTACATCTGTCATCACACTACCAATTTGTACTTTTCACTTGTGTTTATCTATGTAATCTATTCCATATTTGCTTATAAAGCTTGTGACTTCAAGCAATATAGAGGCAGTCGGCACAGGATGAACATATGCCAATAAGAGAATGATCAATTGCAGTATTAAACAACAATGGGAAGATACAAGCAAATAATACCAAGTGAATTACACCTCACCCATTGCACAAGCAGGTGGCTATCAGGACTCAGTAGCTGAGTGGATAACGGGATGGCGCTTGAAGTGAACGGTACTGGATTCGAGTCCCATAGTGAACATAAACTCTGAGATGCAGGTACATTCAGATGATGGGTGCCAAATAGGACCAGACGTGCGTCGTGGATTCCACTGCTAGCCACTATCCATCTTTGTTTATAATCTATTCCACTGTTATCCTTGAATCATAAACTCCCTTGATTGGTCTAATCATTTCGTATATGCATATAAATATTACCGTATATTAGGATAAAGCCTTATGAGGATCTAATCGAAAACAATATTGTTGGATTACACATGTTGTTCTGAATTAAGAAAAACAATATTTCCAGAGTATGATGGATTTATCAAGTTACGTTCATTCGATAAATTGAAGTGAGATATTCTCAGGAATAAGTTGTCTTCATAGATCAAGAAAGTTTTCGATTCCACGAAATCGCTGTGAAAATTAAGATTTTGAAAGATGTTTCTGTAAATTACTGAAGTAATAATCATAATATTGAGGTGTAATATGACGGGAAATTTATTCAGAATATCGATGTGAAGAAAGAAGTAAAGAAGCAACGAGAATATATCAGGTATTTTCTAGGACATCCCAATCAATTCGAAGTAACATTTAGTTTTGTGCCTGCTTTCTTCTATGAATCATAAGCTTTGTTTAACATATAAATTACTGCCATGTTTTTTTCTACCTAAAACTTCTGTAACATAAACGTGACCTATGTTTCTCTGCAATGTCCTAGTTTGTATTTTTCACATTTCTTGTGACTTGTGGCCTTACTGATCATATATTTTTGCACGTGCCTTTTGAGTTAATTTAAAGAAGAAACAAATCGTATAACAGTTCCAGCTAGATCATCTCTCTTCGCTTCCGAACCAATCAGTTGAACGGTAAAGTAATTTTCTTCTTTCTGCCTCCGAAGCCGCTCAGTCCCAAATCGAAATCACATGTTGAGAATCTCAGGGTTGTATTAACGCAAACTATCACGTCAGGGCTGTAAAGTAGATCGAACCAACCTTTGCTCTCACGGTTTATTTAACGGAGACTAGTGGTCAAGCAAATTTAATAGGTAACAAATATAAGAAGAGTGAAATGGGAAAACCGAGTTGAAATCATTGAACGGAAGTTATAATTCTATATAAAAGGAGAACTAACCTCTTAACAAGGTTCTTTTTAAATTATCTAGACAAATACTGGTTGATCTCAGACTCGTACTGAGCACAAAGATCAGAGAATTTCAATACAGTTCAATTGTATTGTTTGTTGTCTGCATCCAATACCCATATTGTATCTACCATGTGTCCCATGTCCAACAGGTGAGGCGAGCTTGAACTATGAAGACTAGCATATCCTCTGAAATTTTTCTTTGGAATATGTTCAAAAAGAATTCTTAATAATAATATTTCAGAAGCAAAACCATGCTAACATACCACCAATTCACATCTATTTCAACAACTCACAAGTAGCACAGTTAGATAAATGGGAAACAAACAGTATGCGAATCACAGTTTCAAAGTAGTAGTAATAATAATAATAATAATAATAATAATAATAAAAGGATAGGGATAAGAGTGAGATGCTCAATATATATATATATATATAGGTAATATTAACAGGGCCAATAGTAATGTAAAAAATACAAAGTTTAAAGATAAGGACAGCTGATTAATGAAAATCTGTCATCAAAGAGTGAATTGACTCCTTTTTTAGTTTTAGGACAACAAAATTTGTACAGAAAGAATAGTTCACTATTCGATGAAATAGAAATGGGAAGTAATAATAATAAGCATACATTTGACTAATTCATAGAGAAGTAATCAATGCATCAACTAATAGAAAACAAGTTCACAATGCCATATTAATCAAGAAACTCCTAGTTGATAACGATGATAATGATTAGTACGGTTTACTCAGTTTATTCAGGCAGTTAAAAAAGAGATAGCAACAAGTAATGACAAATAAAAGGACAATCAACAATGTGAATAAGTCAAAAATAAAGATGGCGAACTTGATATAAAAAAAAAAGAGAGAAATATTACAGGGTTGAATAGACCAAGTAGTTTGTGTCTTAATTCATTGTCTATCCTTGGCTGAGAATCACTTTTTTCGATATACACAGAGGCATTTATTGGGTGATGGGAAATAGACGCCAAATGAAATTTGTGAAAATAAAGATGGTTAGAAAAACCTAAACATGATGCGAAAGAGTATGTGATTGTGTATGTTGGTTATATTCTCCAGTTTCCTTTACTCTAACAATATTTGGAAAAAGTAGATGACAGTGTGTGTGTTTGTTATACTTAACAAAGTGGGTACCCAAAGAAATAAAACGATAAAAGCAGACTAACAACTGAAATAATCGTTTTCGAGAATCCATTGTACATAAAACTTTGAATGACAAAAATAAACTGTAGATGATAATGAACTAGCCAAAATACACAATTGGAATCATTTGGCCGATTGTTCCACAATAATAAAAATAACAACTATGATGACGACAACACTTAAACTTGAAATGATATTGCAGTGTAGATAAATCTTTCTTGATGTGTGTGAAGTGGGGTTGTGTTGATCCATTTACATTATCGGTTCATTCACTCATCATGACAACTTGAATTCACGGAATTCGGTGATTGATTCACACCAGTAACACTTGTGTCTAAAAGTAAATAACGATATCAAGAAATACACAACAGATTGTGCAGCGAAGGTTATTATCAAAGAAAGTACGAGGTCCATGCTTTATGCGAAACCTAAAAGACATGAAAACGATTCTGTCACATTCCACTGCGTTTACCAATTTAAATGTGTGTTGTCACACATGCATAGAGAGGAGCAAATTAGGGTGTATGAACATGTACCTAAATGGCTGCGGAAACAAATAAAATCAAATGACCCGATAAGAGTAGAGGATAAATATCCATCATCCTCGATTGCAAAACATATAATCGAAACAGATTATAAGATTGATCTTAACTCGGCTTTTCTGGTGTTGTATAAAAGTGTGTATACTAAGGTTTATTGAAGCCTTAGCCATACGAAAATTCAAACCCCCTTTTGTGTATTCAAAAACAGTTTGTTCTAACCTTAAACCTACCCTGGTAATATTAGCTTATTATCCAAAATGATTAGGTTTCAAATTGTTTTCACATTATTTTTATTATTATCGTTGTCGACTCTTACCCCCCATTTCCAGTCTAGTTGACCTTTTATTTTTATATATAAATGTTCTTAACAAGTATATTATGTGTGATCAGATTGTTCGAAATGTATTGCACTAATATATCACATAGTTCTGATAATCTTCGGCTTCATATTACACTATCGAAACACAACAGATAATTAAAGCTCAGTAATGAATAATACAAAATCACAACACATAAAAACTATTTTTCTTTTATAAGCGAAGATGGATAGTGGCTAGCAGTGGAATCCAGGAAGCGCGTCTCGTCCTATTTGGGACTCGTCAGCTGGATGTACCTGCATCTCAGTGTTGATGTTCACTCTGGGGCTCGAACCCAGTACCTTTCGCTTCAAACGCCATCGCGCTATCCACTAAGCTACTGAGTCCTGATAGCTTCTTGCTTGTGCAGTCGGGTGAATTTTTAAAACTTAGATTTAAGTCAAGTGTTAAACATAAATGATTCTTCCTCTAGTAAGTTTAATGTAACTAACAAATCCATAGATAACTGAATAGCAATGATCATGTATTTAATAATAATCTTGTAATGGAAAACTAACTGTTCAAATCTTGGAAATACAGATAAGAGTTTGCATTCATGACTTTTTAAATGAAATTGGAATTTTAAAAATAATATTAAAATTAAAATACTGCGTCAAACTCTGTTCTGTAACAACTGAATGATACAACTTTATTGTACTCTTATTGTATCCCTAAAATTACAATGATAGCTACAAAACGTATATATTTCGAGAAGACTGAAAATGATCAAACTAACAATATGACATCAATTCAGAAAGGCAATGATTGTCGGTATTAGTAATTTCACAAGGAGCAAACTTTCTGGTTGCAGTTTGAGCGATAAACTAATTTATGGTTATGGATCTGAAGTAATACAGCTCAAACTCGATAACGGTGAGGAAGATGCAAACAATCGTTACCTCGCTTTTCATACTATACTGATAAACGTGGAAATTTTGATCGATATACATTTATAGCATGTTCTATGTTGTTTGTGTAGGAACGTAGTCATTCGTAAGCATAGCCAGTCATTTAAGTTGGTGAACATTTATCATCTGGAAATTTCTGTTAAATATTGGGCGTTATTTAACAGAAATATGATCAGATTTGATAAATAATTAATAACATAAAATAGTGCGATAACCTTGCACACACATGTATACATACAATTGGAAACTCACTTTCATCTTTTAAACCACCAGCAACAACTGATGCGAATGTATTGACCTTACCAGTTGTAACTACGCCTGGATTACTGCCACTGGATAGATTGATAGTTGTAGCAACAGACGCTGGTAATGCATAAACACCTGGTTGTTGCGGCCCGCCAGTTCGAATACAATTGACATTTTTAGATGCATTACCATCTCCGGTAGAAATATTAGTATTACTGTTAGTAATATTAGATGCTGGGAGAGAGTTTGAATCGTACGGTGAATTAGGATTCATTGCTACAGATGATATACTAGTTGGTTGATTATTTGTTGAAAGTGGAGATAGTAATCTAGAATGATGAAAGGACATAAATAACAAAAATTAGATAGTGACTAATCCTTTCCTATCCAAACTGATAAAGTAACCGACAGAATCCTACCAGAACTGATGAATAGGCAAGCATAACACTAGGTAATACTCGGTCATCAATCAATGTAAATATCTCAAAACCACAGGAGGTTAGTCATAGCCTGAATAGATGAGTGGTGACGTTTCAAACTATGAAGCTGGGTGACGTAGGTTAAAATCCCACAGAGAACTTCAGTTCCCCTGAAGGTCGGAAGTACACCGTGTTAATGAATGTTAACTAGTACGAGTCCTAGATCTAGGGTACCCTGACGACTATCTCCAACCGCTCAACATAATAACTTAGTGTATTTACTAACCAAGTACATGATTATGAACTTCGCTTAGAACTACGCTGTTTATCTGAAGGCTGTTGAAACTTTTCGGGTTTTCAAACAAATGTATGCCATTGGAGCCTATGACTGAAGATTAATTGGTGAAATCCAAAGGTCACTGCTTCCAAAACATAATAGACTAGAAAGTAGGAAGGGAATATTTCTCAAAATCGAAAAAAGACTGAATTAATATTACACAAAATCAAGTTACACCGATTCTCATTACTGAAAAATTTTATACTCTATCCATATGTGCCCTGTGACCCCTCCGAAGGCTACTGCCGGTTCCAAACCCGGATAAAGGAGGAAGGTTGGGTATGGGGTTAGCGACCCCATCCTATAGAAAACTAACTGGCTAAAAAAACCTAACCAGAAATCCATATGTGTAAAAGAGTAGACAGTGTTTCCTATGAATTCACAGAATTTATTTCAGTAAATCCTTTTTTATTCTAATTCATATAGAGTTAGATGGAAGAAATACCAGTTGGTCAATCAATCGGTTGGTCTAGTACAGATTAATATCATTCAGTCATTAGTAGATCGTTTATTTCAAAATTACTAGAGTTATCGAGCTAGATTACAATCCACTAGTAAACTTATCAAAATTAACCAGCACTCTTGACAATATAAACCTTCTCAGTGTAGATATATTCTAGATGTATAAGGCAACACCCTAATCTGGAAACATTGATCTAAACAGGCACAGCAAATATTTAAATCTATGAGTAAGAGCTTAAAAACTGCTGTAGAAGATTTAGTCATCATTTAACAAAACGCATAGCAAAAGTGTACACATTTAAAATGAGTATCTTTCATAAAAAAGAGTCAACTATGATAATGGATTATCACTTACAGGTTCCTCTTTTTTGGATGAAAAAGAATTCAACTTGTCTTAATGATTAATTAGGAAGTAACTTAACAACTAAACGCTATCATTTTTTTCAGACTACTTTTATAAGACTATAGAAATCCTGTTGATGAATGTGTCTATTCCATCGTGGTCATGTAGTTGACTGATTAATAAACCTTAATGTTACCTCATTTGTGACAGATGGAGTTTGTGTGTGCATTTGCGTGTGACTGCATCTATTTGAAACAGAGTAACAAACAACTTAAGGTAACTCCAAAATGACTAACAGCAATTTGAACGAATAGCTATAGTTTAATGATAAGAAAATCAGTTATTAGGAAACGGGTAATAGGTAAGGATGACAAATCGATTGATGAAGTACTGAAACTTCATCAGTTGAGATGGCTGAGACATGTGTTACGTATGCCCAACCACCGACTGCCCCGACGTGCAATGTTTTATGGTGTAGGAGTAGGTTGGAAGAAAGATAGGGGCGGTCAGATCAAAACGTGGCACAAATCAATGAAGTCATTGACAAGTGGACTGAGCCATGTTGGTAGATGTAGACTACCTGGTCGGGATCCGCGAGATGACAGCAACCGATGGTTAGAGACCTTGAATGACATGGCTCAAAATCGTTTGCAATGGCGAAGGTGCATCCACTCTTTGTGTTCTCCCAAATTCTAATCTTCTGAATTTTTTATGTCTCTATCTTTTTTCTCTTTCCAAATTTATTTCACTGGATTATACTCCTTGAATAACATCTCCAAACCCTAATCTTTCTGATTACTGCTTATATTCTTACTACTTCTACCACTATGGGATTTGAATCGGCAACTGTATCTCTGTGTTAATGTGGTATGGCAACTCGAACAGATGTACGTACGTACGAAGTTCTACATTGTGACTGGCTGACTGACTGAATGATAAGAAACCACTATTTAGTGGTATTTACAGACTCTGATTAACCTATTTTTTCTTTTTGAAGGGCTGATTAGTATTATTAGTCTTAATACGAAAAATGAATAGTTTAAAGGTCCATCCATCTGCCAATCTGTATGTTCAGTTATATACTTTATATAATTTTAAATATAGTTATAGAAGAAAGAAGGATCTCAAGCATCAGCATTATTATCATCAATATGGTTACAAAATTTACCTTTGAGTTCTTATTAAAACACCTTCACCACCATTGACTGGATCAATAGAGAAAATATGCACAAGACCGTCTAGGCCAGCGACAATTAATCGTGGTTGATTTTGATAACTACAAATGTATTTTCAAGGAAACAACAAAATGAACAATGAACTTAACAACAATGAAACATGAGAAACACGCAGTTAAACAAATACACATTCTTCTCAATAAAAAAAAGAGTACGTACACATAAAGCATTATGATCAAGTGCAAAGAGTCATTATTAAATAATTTTGGATAGACATATATGTATGAAGATTATTGATGTGTAATTGATCAATTAATATTCATTATATGCCTTAAATAATACTTATGTAATAATAAATCACAAGCGAACTGATCGAATGTTTAATACAGTACAGAGAAAACTGTTTAGTATATACACATATATTCGCAAGCATATAGCTTGCACTTACAAACCCTATCCTCTAGTTCATACTTGTTGTAAAGCTTTTGTATCAATTTTGGATAAAATTATAGAATATCGACAGGTCAATCGGAATCTAGAAAGCGATTTCAATAGATTCAATAATTATGTAAAATTAGTTTACCCGTTTTAATATTAATGTTTGTTTCCCATGCACTATTAAAAGTGTTTTCTGATAAGTTGAAACTTGCCGCAGTTGTTTTAAGTTCATCCTTATACCATACTCTTTTTGTGGACCATTGATCTGACTACAGTTTGATCGAACGATAGTGTTAAAGAAATATAGATGGTCTCAATCGTTGTATATAATTATCAGCTTAATTCGCGTTAGAGAAGAACGCAACAAGTCGTATAGGAGAATGAATTTTGGATATGCGTGTTTCATACATTCGTTTATCCAGTCAGACAACCAGAGAAACGAAGCGGAGAAGCAGACCAGAGAAGACAAGTGTGTCAACTCCCCTTCGATCAGGCGTGACTCAATATTTATAGCCTGACAAAAAAATAAGCTAAATACACGTGATAAATAGGGTAAGCAATACATACACATACGTCCAAATAAAGGGGCAAGGTTATGAGCTAATAATTGACAAGGTTAAGATGTGACTCGAGACGACCCATGTGGACTGGATATAGCAACAGACACAACATTATTATCTAACTTGCCATAATCGTGTTCTAAACATTGGCGAGTGATTTCTGTGGCCAACGTCAGCATGTGGTGAAAAAGCATCTTCAAGTTATCCATCTTACACCTCAAATAATCACGTGAATGATACACATCAACCCCAATTGAATGAAGCTAAGTTCGGCTGTTGGGCTCAAAGTAGAGAAAAACAAACATGGTCGTAAATATTAAACCGGAATTATATTTCTTCAAGTTACTCCTGTTGGTTACTAATGTTTAATCATAGATGATTTTCAAACCAGTATTCAAACACGATGGAACGGTGAGTAACGGTCAGGTTAGAAGTAGGATAATACCTAAAGATTTTAGACTGGTTGCTTACAATCTAAATTGTTATCGCCTGAGATGATAGAACATGTGTTATGCATACCCACCATGCACCGCCTACCTCGATACAGACTCCTGGTTGGTGTAGAAGCAGGTTAAAAGGCTAAGGATAGCTAAACTAAGACGTAACATCAGTTCATTAGGTCGACGTCAGTCAATCTGAGTCATGTCAGGAGTTTCAGACCTTCTGATTGAGGAACCTATAGAACATGGCTTGAAATTGGTTTCGAAAGAATATATATATTCATTTTTTATCATACAAAACCCAGTATTTATCACATTTATCACTCTAAGTAAAAGATAAACATAATGGATAGAAATAAAGACTTAGAAAAACCGATAATATTGGTCTGTTATCTCATATTTAACACTTCATATTAACATATTTAAACCGTTTATCGAATGACTGGAAAACAGGAAAATCTAACAAGCATTAAAATTAATAACCATTCATGGAATAAGTTAAAATATCTTTATAACTTACTAAACAAGAGCGGCCACTTTCCTTTGCCCCGGTGACAATTGCATAAGACTACCTTGAGGAATTGAAGGTGTCGAACCAACATAATTAAGATTAACCAACTCTCCGGTTGGAGTCATGGTCACAGGACTACCACTGCCTGGTGGACGAAATGGACTATTAACTGATGCATATGGTATTCGAGCATATGCAAACGCACGATCTTGAGCAAATATTTCGGAGACCTGATGTGGTAGATAAACAGAATACGTTTTTAGAGTACTTCCCATCCATCCCATTAGACCTTGACTCCAACTGGCCATAGTGGCTGCTGCTGCACCAGTTGTGGTATTTGTATTATCTAAACCAGCAGTATTTATATCTATACATCCCGGGTAATTTGTGCCAATATCATCAGATGAAGGCGGATCGCAATCATCTATAATACATCCAGCAGTTTGACTGGCTCCAGAACTAGAAGACGTAGTACGCTGTCTAGTATAGTGATCAGTTTGAACTTCAGGTGTCTTTTCAGAACTACAAGATCAAAGAAAGACGTAGTTACGTCAGTGTACAAAAATCTTTTAGGGTTTCACTGTGGTCAGTTACTCAATTTGAAAAAAAGTGTAACATGACATAAATAAGTAAGAAGTCAGAATGACATTTTTTGTAATTAAAATTGGAACAAGATCAAATCTGACGGATTTACATCACCTCACAACCATACAGTGAAAGAATAAGTTCGATAAAGAAGGTTTGAGAAACGACAAGTAATAATGAAATGTAACTGAGAGCTGACATTGATTACCAGAAAAAAACGATATCCATGATGACAGATACTAGTTACCAACAGCAAGGTTACTGAAATAGCCTAGACTAAATAGTTGAAAGCGTGAGTCAATTGAAGCTAGACCACCAAAGGAAAACCTGGAAGCACTGGACGGTCGTTTCGTCCCATAATAGGACGAAACGACCGTCCAGTGCTTCCAGGTTTTCCTTGGTGGTCTAGCTTCAATTGACTCACGCTTTGAACTATGAAAATGCTAAATCTCCACAAAACCCCTTCTGATAATAGTAAATAGTTAAATGGAAAGGAAGAACAAGACAGAAATTAACAACAGTCGAACACGAGCAGAGAAAGTCAAGGCACAAACAGACTACGCAGAAGCAAACAAGGAAGTATAGAGTAGCATTAGAGCCGACAAGCAGAAATACATGGGAGAACTAGCAATGACGGCGGAAAAAGTTGCAAGGGAAGGGAATATGAAACGACTATATGATAAAACGAAGAAACTAGAGGGGAAATATATTAAACCAGAGTGACCGGTCATGGACAAAGAAGGCGAGACAATCACCGAGATTCAGGAACAGATGAGTAGAATACTTTCGTGGAATTGCTAAATAGACCAGCTCCACTGAAACCACCGGACATAAGAGCATCACCTACAAACCTTCCTATAGATGTCCCTCCACCAACGATCGAAGAAATCAGGATGGTCATCAGACAGATGAAGATTGGAAAAGCAGCAGGACCAGACAACACAACATATGAAGCACCGACGTCAGGCATAGAAGTAAATGTCAAGATGCTTTATCTTCTATTCAAGAAGATTTGGAAGGAAGAACAAGTGCCACTACTGGACTGGAAAGAAGGATATCTCACTAAGATACCAAAGAAAGGAGATCTGAGCAAATGTGCGAATTACAGAGGCATCAGTTTTTTTGTCAGTACCAGGAAAATTTTTCAATAGAGTGTTGCCAAACCGGATGAAAGACGCAGTGGACGCCCGACGTCGAGATCAACGGGCCGGATTCCGTAAGGATCGGTCGTGCATAGACCAAATCGCAACACTACGGATCATCGTGGAACAATCAGTTGAGTGGAGTTCATCACGATACATCAACTTCATTGACTATGAGAAGGCGCTTGACAGTGTGTACAGGAGAACATTACGGACACTTTTTCGACACTGTGACATTCCTGAGAAGATTGTCAACATTATCCGAAACTCATACGACAGACTACAATACAAAGTGGTACATGGAGGACAACTGACAAGTGCATTTCCAGTAAGAACCGGAGTCACACAAGGCTGTCTACTCTCCCTCTACTTCTTTCTTCTGGTGATTGACTGGATTATGAAGACCTTCACATCTGAGGAGATGCACGGAATACAATGGACATCTTAGAGCCAATTAGATGATTCGGACTTCACAGAAAACCTACCCCTCCTATCCCATACATACGAACAAATGTAGAAGAAGACAACTAGTGTAGCAGCAGTCTCTGCATCAATATACACAAAGGAAAAAGCAAGATTCTTAAATACAACACGGAGAACACCAACCTAATCGCACTTGATGGCGAAACTCTGGAAGATGTAGAAATATTCATGTACCTGGGAAGCATCATTGATAAACAAGGAGGATCTGATGCAGATGTAAAGGCGACGATTGGAAAGCAAGGACTGTATTTCTACAACTGAAGAACATATAGAACTAAAAAAACTGTCAACTAATTTCAAAGTGAGAATCTTCAATACGAACGTCAAGACAGTTCTACTGTATGGAGCTGAAACGTGGAGAACTACTACAACCATCAATTAGAAAGTACAAGGATTTATGAACAATTGTCTATGTAAGATACTCCAGATCTGCTGTCCGGATACTATCCGCAACAGCCTACTACTGTGGAAAAGTACAAACCAGCATTGTCTGTTAAGTAAGTTAATAAAAAGGCTTAACCAAAATTAACCATAATCGAAATTGGTTGTAGGATAGTTGCTATAGTTTAATAATATGTAGATCACCACAGAAAGTATAATAGTTATTTATTTATTTATTTAAACACATAAATATTGGTACAAGGAAGCACCAGATAAATATGCGCCACACAAATGTTATTCGATTTGTGTGAGGGCTGTGATACTGCCCAGGTGCCCACACTGAAGCAGGTGGTTTTCTTAGGGGGCCACACCCGGAGCCTTTGACCTGAATGTCTGATCCACAAGGCAGTGGAACATCGTGAGGAGATGCAGTCCCATGGTAGCCGGTGACCAACAATTGGTTCATACGCCATTTGTTCCCTCAGGATACTGGAGCCCATGTGCACCACTGGTTTGGAATCAGGGTTTTCCAACTGCCCTAGGTGGACCCTCCATGTCCACCAACCTGGTTAAAGCGCCGGACATTCGCTTTTCGTCCTCTCACTTTAGTACACAACACCCCCACCACGAGAAGGCAGTGAGTAGGACTTCCCTGGCAGAGGCTATATATTCGCTGGCCATATGAGAGTATTTCGAGAGGGAGAGGTGACTCCCCACTCTCGACCGTACCAGGGCATTTGGGGGCTAATAATAATAGTTAATTGTATGTGGATAGTAGGTAAAGGATAACCGGTCTAGCATTATGTAAATAATGCGCAAGATATCGTACAACATTAAAGGTGTTGAATTAAATGTTGCTATTACTGATAATAACCACTAGTTACATGTATATAAACCAATGAGAGACACTACTACATTATACTTGGATATCCTTTGATGAAAAATAAACAAACAACGAATTCACATTTATGCATATAATGTGCAACAGAAATTCTTATAATATATGTTATAAGAGTAGGGCGGTGTGAGAAGCACAGTGAATGATTTTAATTACTTACGAACGACTTTCCAATTTGAATATATGCACCGTTTCTGTATGACTAGCGGCAACAAGATATTGACTATTCATGCTGAATGATAGAGAGCAGATAGATACACAGCTGAAAGGGAGAAATAACAGTTGAAATACAATTCATTTTTTAAGTACTTAAATATCTTCAGAATGTTTTCAAGAATGTAATCGAGTTAAGCAAAACTTCAGAAGCCAGGAAAATGTTGTAAATGCTTCAACCAATCAGCATTTCTTTTTAGAGATTCAAGAGAATTCTGAAAGAAACGATACACAATGTTTTCAATACCTGATACGATTATTACCAGTTTTATTACCGATTTAAGCATGATTTACAGAAGATTTCAGAAGCTTAAGATCCTACACATGAATTAGACTTTGTAGAAAAGTTTTTTTCACATTTAACGCATTTCGCCTTTCGTTCGGGATTTAAGTGCAGAAGATTTTGGAGGTAAAGTCAAGTAGTAAGTGTTCAAGTAAAAGACAATACTGGGTTGATTTATACAGAGGAAATCAGAATAATTGAAACATTTAATTATATACCACAAATATTGACTTTACAATGTAAATAAATGCACATGATCCACAGTAATCGACTACATAGATATCTTTAATTAACTCGAGTACATTAGCTTATTAACAATAAGATTAAGGCAAAAAATCTTGAATCTTCGCTCATGAGTCGAAGTAATAACTCAGAGTTCAATAGAAGATATTAATAATTATATGGATATTTATGTAGGGGTTACTAAAAAGGACTCTGAAGGACGGTGAAAAAAATGAACAAATAGTGGAAATTCATGATTTGCTGAAAAGGTATTGGATTAAAACAAAGTTAGGATCCTTTACTAAGAGATAGAATGTTAGGTGTACACATTGCTCTAGAATAGAATCCGTCCTAAGAATAAGCGAATCAAAAAAGGATTGGGAAAAAACCTACCATTATTTTTTATTTTATTTATACACATAAATATTGGTACAAGGAAGCACCAGATACATATGCGCTGCACAAATTAAATGAGATTTGTGTGAGGGCTGTGATACTGTCTAGGTACCCAAACTAAAGTACGTGGTTTTCTTAGGGGGCCACACCCCGAGCCTTCGACCTGAAGATCTGATCCATAAGGCAGTGGAGCATCGTGAGGCGATGCATTCCCATGGTAGCCGGTGACCAACAATTGGTTCATACGCCATTCGTTCCTTCAGGATACTGGAACCCATGTGCACCATTGGTTTGGAATCAGGGTTTTCCAACTCCCCTAGGTGGACTATCTGTGTCCACCAACCCGGTTAAAGCGCCGGATATTCACTTTTCGTCCTCTCAATGTCGTAAACAACACCCCCGCCAAGAAAAGAAGGCAGTGAGTAGGACTTCCCTGGCAGAGGCTGAATTACGCATGGCCATGTGAGAGTATATCGAGAGGGAGAGCGGACTCTCCCCACTTTCGGCCATACCAGGGCATTTGGGGGCTTGGAAAAAACCTACCAAGTAGCAAACTAATCATAATAAGAAAAATGAAGGTTAAAGAGGGGAGGGTGAGTGTACAATACAAAGGAGTCTCATACTAGGATGAAGTAGTTGTCAAAACCTCTCTGGCTTTCAGTAATGCTCAAACTGAGAATAGTTTATAACGAATACTACCTATTAATCAAACCAATCACCACGAAACTTCTTCAAAGAAAACATATTTGACCGACAATAAACCAAACTAAATTTATACAACTGAGCCTTGTGAAGAGATTTATAACGTTTGAAATTGCTTCCCGTCAAAAATTAACGTTAATTAGGACACGATTGAACACTTGGCAGTAGTGAGTAGCTATTTCCTTCTGGTATGCGACCCCTTAACAGTAGGCATCAATGGCCACCACCCTATATGAGATTGACATTGGAAATCTTAGGTTTTATGTGTTATGAACGATATCATCTGTTATTCAAATGAAACTCAAAATTAATGAATATTTTACTTACCGAGTAAGTCCACGACGAAATTCAATAACTTTTTCTCCTTGTGGAATAGAAAACACTCGTATTACAGTGCCTTTTTCTGATGCAGTCGCTAATAAATTAGCTCTCGCGTTAAATGTAAGACATGCTAGTAGACCATCATGAGCAGCGATAGACGTAACATTCTAAAGTGCAAAAAACATTTAGTAATAATGTGGAAAACTATTTGAGAATTTGTAATTTGAGCCAGTCTCCATAATGTGTACAATATTAAACAATCACTGCATACCACCTAGTGACTAATTCGGAGATAAATTCTTAAAGTTCCAATGAGAATACCTGTGACTAGTGTGGTTTGATTACGTCATCAGGAGTGATACAGATATAATCTATAATATTAGACGAAGAAGGATTTATATCACAAATTCACGTAAGTTGGGAATGTGAACAATTAGTTGCTTAACTTCCATAAATAAAACCACAGAAAAAGCTGAAAAAATAATATCTGGAAAAAGTAGATTGATTGTCACTAGGGAATAAGGACTAGTGATAAGCATTCAGAACATAGTCTTTTACATTGATGAATAAAACACTACAGAGAACAGTTGAACTAGTTTTCAGTCACCACCATCCAAATCACACTAGTTTATTTATAACTTAAATGGGACATAGAATCTAGGTCTTCACTATATTATGGATAATGATGGAAAATTCAAACTATTTTAGAGTGAAGAACATAAACTATTCTTCACACTGCCTTCAAGTCATATTTCCTTAACACAGGTATACAAGGCGTTAAACAGGGAGCATAAAAATTAGACAAAATTCATTTTAACTAGTGTCGATTATCTATCATTTAATTTATTATAATTTACCTTAATGAACAGCTACAAATTCGTTTGTTTGGTGCACGAGCTTTATACCTTTGTGTACATGAAGTAGTGATACTGGTCAACTAAGAGAATTTATATATATATATCGGTTGTTCGGATCTTCCCATTGATGTTTGGGACCGCCATTGGTCAGTCTCTTTGGGTATATATGAATCCTGTGCCTTGATGTTGCCATTAAGTCGCGAGCATTTTAAGCAGAGATGGATGGTGGGTAGTAGTGGAATCCAGGATGCGCGTAGCCGTATGGATGCAGGTATATCCAGCTGATGAGTCCCGATAAGGATGGAACGAGAGTCCTGGATTCCATTGCTAGCTACCAACAATTTTTGCTTAAAAATATGGTAGATAATATCTGTAATTTAGGATAAGAATTTAGAGGTGCTGTTCTCTGGCCTGGTTAGTTTAGTCGTAGGGCTTTCATTGACTCAGGATACTCATTAATCAACAAAAATATCGAAAACGACCGAATTAAACAGCCAACAAGCTATTAATCAATTATGGATACATTTTGACAATGCACCTTATTTTAAAGTATGTGTTGACGATGTTGTCTAGAAAGACAATCAAAACTTCATAACTAAACCATTCACATGGAAGAACACAACACCTCTGAGAACCGCTCACCAACCCAAAACAAAGTAAACAGTCAAGATTTTGAACTTACAACTCTAATGGTTGAAAATTAATGGCCTTAACTACTATGCACTATGGATTTTAAAATGAAAGCTTATGTAGAGCGTTTTCATTCCGTAAAATGAGAGGGATATTAGACGATTTTAAGTACAATAAAACTATTATTTATTTATCAACAAACTGAAATGACATTAATTATTGATCAACCTAAACTGTATTGATTCTACAGTCTGTCCAGTGGCAAAATAATCAATTAATTTCCATAAGGTAACAAACAGTTTGAAGAGATCAAATGACCGACACTACCATGAAATCCACGTGAATCATACGACCAAGAAAATAATAAATGAGTTGATATACATATGTATACATATAATATGATTTTTAAAGAATTTTGATGAAACGACCGAGGAGTTGGCATTATTTATCAAAACACTATGTATTTGTGATTTTATGAATACATGTGAGTTAAGAGCTCGAATACAGAAAAGAAACATTTTTCCCATTTTAATACTTTCTACTTAAGATAAAGACCCAAAGCCTGTAAAAATACCCTATTCTCATAGTTAGTAAACGATAGTTTTAGTTAGTGGTTAAATCATTCAGCTTCCCAACAACAGATGGTAGGTTTGAATCTCGCTCCACTTAGATTTGATGTCAATAGCAGTCAAAACCAAGTACATAATGCACTACTTGATAAATGAAGTAGATTGTTGCTGAGTGGTGAGTATCATATTCGCACTTCATACATATTAAGTAAGAAGTGACTCTTTAAAATTATTCTGTATAAAACCATAGATGAATGACGGAGAGAGAAGCAGTCGTACCAACGTTAGAAACCTAGAAAAAATGAAATATATACTTTAAACTAAACAATCAACGAACTGAGACAAATTTACATCAGCCACAGTTGTTGAACCACATCAGAACAACGAGATGAATTATACAACGTAAATAATCACGATAGTGATACCAGAGATAATAAAAAAGAAGGTCGGGAATGGAGAATATAGTTTGAGAAAAAATTAAATAAGGGAATACAAAGCATAAAATAACATTCAAACTGAAGGTTTAGTAAAAGATAAAGAATGAGTTCATCTGGGCCACTACGAAAGACTTTGAGCTACGTCGATCAGTCGGTTATAAGTAACGTATAATCTACACAGTAACAGTATACATAAAATTGCTTCATTTCAGATTCAACTTAACCCGTTGTTGCAACACACATGATTAAAGCAAAAAAAAGCATTACACAACAATAATTCTTATAGTTCAGTAAAATATTTCTATTGGTACATAAATATAATGTATTTTCCTTGTGCAGTCAATGACTTTTATCCATTAAATACAAAAAAGAAAAGCGTATACCCAATAACTCAGTTGTTTACTTATTTCATGTTATTAATTACTTATGGAAATGGTAAATAGACATTTCATGCATTTAGTTAAGGAAAAAACTAACTGCTTAGTCAACAAATCCACTAGGCACCTAAATATGAGCCACATATTAGATGAGAGGAGTAATGATACTACCCGGTTGACCAAACCGAAGTAGGTGGAGCGAAATTCGAACCTGAGACTTAGCGATTGGAACTTCGATGTTTTAACCACTAAACCATTGTTTATTTTGAAAATATTTCGGTCGACCAGACGTAAATATTTACTTCATTCCATTAATAAAACTAATCAATATATCGACTATCTTTAGGACTTACAGTATAACTCTTTCATATTTTACTGAATGTGAAAGTATAAACCAGACGCTAGGATAATTTCTAAGTCAATGTTAATTTGCTTGTAAGAATATAAAGGACAGATAACTGTGTGAATCATTATTCTATAAACAATATGTAAACATCTAATAGTTATTTTATAAAAAGGTTTCTACTAATCAGGGTTTAGAAATATGTAATAAGTCTTGATGTGAACATCGCGTCGTATCACGAATAGTCGGAAGTTCGAAGTGTAAACCATTAAATATCAATTCAGTGGTTTACAGGTAACATGATTGCTGAGATTAGATATCCTGGGTTCCATCTCTGGGGGAGTTGTAGATGTGGGTAATGCTGAGGAGTCTCAAATCAGAAAGAAGCAATTATCAAGCATTCTCTGGTTCTCTAACGGTTACTCAAATGATGAAAACTATCTCTAAAGTTGAGTTACGTGTATGACCGAAAAACGGGTGATTTAAATATCCCCGGAGTTTAAAATAAAAGTAATAATAACTTCAACATACTTGAAAACTTAATGCATCGAAAATGAAAACAGTTCCAACACGATGAGAGCCAGGATAGGCTAAATAGCAATTGCTTTCATTGGCCGATAAAGCAATAACACCGTTTCGGTTAGGTGGAGTTTCTTCAACTTTATGCAGTAATTGCATATCACGCATATTATGAATAAATATTCCATCTTCTACACAAACTACTAAACGCTGTGAAAGGATAAAATGAGAAAATGGAGATAGGAATGTATTAACTAGTGACCAGTAGACAAAGCATATAAATACATACTTTTCTCAAATTCAGTGTTTATTATATTCTATTTGTACAGATATTTTTGCCTCATTAAGTCATCAAGCTCAATATTTCAAGTCATATGATTGTGTGATTTAAGAAGTGTAAAGTGCATGAACTTTAAGCAAAAACATGCTTTCACCTATTAAAGGGATTTGATATGTAGTGAATAAACTCTGAAAACGAGGTACTAGTCAAGTGATTCATTTAACTCGGGCAGCCTTCAACATAGCGTACTCATAAGCTGTTTTGAGATCCGATATACAACTCATTGGGCTTCTCAGACAGTAACACTGACTTGATCCTAATTACAGGCCTGAAGGTATAACAAAATTGTTTTCGACATACGAGGTAAAACGTAACATAACGACACTTTTAAGATAATACGTTTTCGAAAAGAAAATGAGTAAAGCGGTGACTCTGTGGTAACTTACAACCTCAACTTTCAGCCATTCTATAAAGAATACAAAAGTGATAACTAAAATACTTTTGTCAATTATGGAATACAGGGGTTCCGACCAAAAGATATTGTAACTGCTGTGTATATATGAAGACCCTGAATTCGATTTCATGTAGGGTTATAGAGGTGGACTGATTAAGTGTCTATCACGGACGACTACGGCCGCGAAGTACTTATTGGTTATCGATGGCTATTTTTACCTGGAAACAGTTAATGAAGATGAGAACTACGCTCAAACTGAAACATTATCAACTGAATTCCTAATTTAGAACAAACCGGCTACTCCTACCCAGTAAATCACAAATGGAGAACTTAGTAACATTCACCTTAAAAAAAAGGTAATGACAATAATTGTTCAATTTACCAAGCTACAAGATACTACGTGTTAATTATTTTAGAGGATTAAAGGTATATTGACATTTACAATTCAACTCATCTTTACAACATACCTGATGATTCATTTTAACAGCTAATATAGTCAGGGTATAACGATAGTGGCATATCAATGTGTTTATTCTGGAATGTGCAACTAGTAGTCTGCGCATATCGTTTTGTGAGACCAATGTAACTAAGCTTCGATTAAATAATCTTCCAACAATACACATAGGATCACCGGCTATTTGTGTAAATGAAATTTTTTAATAAACACAAATTACTAGAAGAAAATGTCTCAGTCACCTGATCACCAACAGTTGATAGGAGGCTGTATCCCGTTTTTGTTCCAACTTGAATAGATCTATGGTATAAAGAAACATATACATGTATATACACCGAAGTAAGTTTGATTGATAACAGCTATCACTTTTTGAGTGTAAATTAACCAAGGTAGCATTTCAAGTGAGCTACAGGTCTCATGCCTTGTGATTACTCGCTCTTTCACAGTAAAATTATCATTCTTTTCTAAAAAATGATTAAATGATTTGTGACTAAGGATTACATACCCTGTCATCTTAATATCAACTGACTTAAGTTTAAGGTCGGAATGCAGAATAAAAACTGGTGACTGATAAAGCTTAGCTGCTTAAGAAAACAGAATAAAATTATACCGATAAACAGAAAAAAATGTGAATACATGGAATAAAGAGTAATCAGATATTTCTAGACGACATGAGACCAAATAGATCCAACTATTGTTTATTTAGTAAGTGTCAGATAAATCCAACTTTACAGAGTTTGTGAGCTAAAGTCTGAGCGAAACGCATGATGTGTGTCAACAATGCTACCCGAACATTTAAACTCCGATGGATGTTGATGAAGTTATAGAATAATATTCTGCATGATATATATCGTGGTTTCATTTACAACTTTAGGTAAACAGTAATTTCGATTTTGCGATATTTCTTGAGCTGAACCAGTATCCAATTCAGTCTACTACTGGTAAGAGTTTGAGCTGTTACAACTCTTAATAGAAACAGATGAAAAATAATGTGTAGAAAATGAATGAGAAATAGCCGAGAACTGTAGTTGGACGCGAATAGTATTATGATTGATAGTTATCATACAATTGAAAGCAATTGCTTCAAATGATTGTATCAAGAATTGTGAACTAGGAAGGAGTTTTGTGAGGAGTCAAATGTGATACAGTAGAGGTAAAAATAGAAACACTGACCGTTACACTTGTACTAAGTTGCATAAAGTTAGGATAGAGCAAAATTGCCAAATTATAGTCTCTTTTTAGATATCGAAACACGTTTATTATATGACGCTTATTATGTAAATCGAAATAAGTAAAAGACTTCTGTAACTGAGTAGTTTTTAGAGGGTGATAAGTTAAACTTTTTTCTAAGAGAAAGAACAAAATCACAGCAAACGATGTATCGAAGATCATGGTATTCGCTTACTTCGGGTTTGTTAACAAGACAAAAACCAACATTTAATGGGCATTGTAGTGCAATGATGTTTAGAAAGTTAAAACAAACGTACATTTGCTTTATTGAGAGTGCTGGATGAATGCGTAAAACCGCTTCACTAAGCAATTTTTTCTTGATTACGTCGAGCACTTGAGAAAAACGCTACGCTTTCTGGATAGTATTACAAATGGAAAAGTGCCAAGAAAGCTATGTTTAGTTATTAAGCACAAAACTCTGTAGGGGTATTTGTCTAGGATATAACTACTTATCCACAGAGGGTATAATCTATTGTCACACTTAAATACTGCAGGTTTAAACCAAGCAGCTTAGGTTGAAATACGAATTGGTAACCAAGTAAGACCTCATATGCTCGGCTTTGCGAAGAACATTTCCCATGAGAGCTACTATTACCTTATGGTTACATAAGTATAGTCAACATAAGGAATTACACAAGTGTGGATTGACGTAAGTTTCAGAAGTCCATGAAAATGAGTTTAAACTATCTATGTAATGACTGGCCAACTCGTTAAAAAGGTATAAGGAATACACTATAAACATGGATCTAGACATCAGTCCTAGGACTGCCTTTGCATAAGCCTCAAGGCTAGTAAAAGCACGATCAAAGTGTTCCGCCAGTTACGTCAATAATTACTAAGCCATAGATATCTACTCGCATATCTTCAACTCTAATGTGTTTCTATTTATTTCATAGAGGAATGGAGGATGCATGAATTGATTTGTAACTACGCAAAAAAACGAACAGGAGGTAAATGCATCGCATGCTTACGTGTAATCTTGATTGAAATCGATAAACAAGATTGGGAAATTGTCATCATGACGGTTGCAAGCGACATTCATAATCTACTGTAAATCAAGGAAGATGATCAGCTGACAAAAGGAAGCCCGCCAAACAATTCAAACCGTTAACAGAAAGCACAAGGCCAACTAACTGGATAATGTAACACGTTTGAAACATCATTCTACCAGCTTCTCTTTTCTTTCAGTATATTGTTTTGATCACAAAACTGTGTGTCATCGATTACTATCAATTATTTTTGTTATTTAAGAGTGTAGATTTGATGTCTCCAGTTTCATTAAAGGAACCACCAACAAGGGATAGGACACTTATCAGCATTGTCAGTGAAAGGGGCCGCGTACGTACACACCGACTCCATCTTACCATATTCAAAATACATGGCATGATGAAATACAGATGAATTCCGAAAATTCGGTTTATTGTGAGATAGGGATTTACCATATTTCTGCTCACATTTGTATTCTACCTTTCAAGAGTTTATTCAATGGTTGCCTACGATCTCATGAGATCTCACCTAAACCCCTATGTGACCCTGTGTATGAACTAGTTTAGGACGGCTAAGAAAACAGCTGAAATTCTTCATTGCTTGAAAATCAGTTCCTTTTACTCCATCAATACAGTCGAAGATACTGTGTTTTGAATTGTTATTAGTTTTATGACAATCAATGAGTTATTCATATTTGCACGCAAACAGTCAGATAACGCAACGTAAATGGGTAAATGAAATACGTACGAGGCCTAACCAGTGTCTATGGATATTTGTTCATAGAAAACTTGAATGTATTTTAGGCAATAGGGTAGAATATAGCTCTGGAATGTAAAACCATAAAAGAATGGTAAGTTGGGAAAGTGGGATGTTGTAACAGAATGATGAGAAAATTACCACTTCATTTCGTGCCTTATCTTCGGGAAAGCAGTTAATAGGTGTATTCTTAATCCTGAAGCTTACATTTAGAGTTCTCTGGATAAAATGAATTATATATACTTAACGGAAGGAGGTTTAAGAACGCACTTACTAGCCACGTTTTGGAAGTAAAAGCGGTTACAAATATCTGAATCTGATTTCATATTGCTGCTGGTATCTTGTGGTAAGTAGAGGTAGAATTGAATTTGATCTGATAACTAGCAACTAGCCAGACTATCCAGTGCATGCTCTTCAGCTCCGGAATAGACCGAAACGCAAGTCAAAGGAAAAGCAGTGAGTAAAACTGGATGTATTATATTGTACAAAATATTGGCACAAAAATGTACAGGGCAATTCTCATGATGTCCAAACATCGTACATATTGTAAGTGCCCATGGAAACTTTCTAGCAAAATGGCAGAATTAAGGTATAGCTTGGTATTATTACAACTCTGATAACAAACTTAATCCTAAAATTGTGGATTTGTCACGATCTGGCCACCTAATCTACAACATCTTACGTGGATATCACATTATTGTCCATACTGACTAGTCGTATCATGACAATCAGCAATAAAATATTTGGCACTTATGAACGATACATTTTGGCTGGGAATACAACAATAAGCTTAATATGCAAAGGTATGAGTTGTACAAGAATGACCAGACTTGCTAGGCTGAGCCGCGCCATGCCCTTTAATTGAATGGATGTTTCCGCGTTCACAATTTTTGACCTTTCCTTACTGTCATACGGTTGAAGATGAATATTCTCAGTAATTATATGTTCGGCTTCGAGGATTGTGTGCTCAGGAACCAATGCAACTACAAAACCACGTTTCTGAGAGTTATCTAGACCGTTTATTTCGCTCAAGAATGTTATAGATCACTATGATAAGGCCGATGTATTGCACATTGTCGAAAACCTTGTGGGGAGTAGTGTAACGTTGTGTACTATATTACACCTACATAGCTTATTCTAGTTTCTGGACAAGCCAATTCACCTATAACGTTATGAGTCATATTTTGATCTTGTTAATTATTCCCTTATTGACCTTGACTATTTTTTTATATGAGCGTATGTGCATGCACACTTCTTATCCTACCTATCACATGTCTGTCATTCATTTTAGTCTGACTATAAACGTTGATTAATGCTCGCTTATAACGAGTTGGCTGACCAGCCATCTCCCATGTATGTTATTTTTTCTTCGCTCGCTAACGTTTACTCATGTGCTTACTGCCTTCTAGCCTATGTTATTTGTCAATAAACATGTAGTTGCCGTTTCCCTTTGTCTTCTGATATTATACACCGTTCAGATTGATATAGTAACGATCGATCGAGACAATCGATTAACGAAGCACCACACTACATATTGGTTAGTCCTACATGCGAACACGTAACAAAATTGGATGCCTCGCCGAACGAACACTCAACCCAGGAATTAAGAATAAATTACTGACCAGTATTCTTGGTATTCTCATATGCGTAATCGCACAGTCATTGATGAATGTAGTATTACAGTGGTAAATATAAGAGGGAAATTCAACAACGTCTAATTGAATGGTATTTACTCCAACAGGTAGGACAAAAACTATCACATGGTTACTCAAAAGGCGAATAACTAGGTTTTCCTATCTACACCAGAGTAGACTTCACGATGATGAGTAAAGATCATCAACACGTCTTATGGCCTGGAGAGTTACGAAGACTAATAGTGATTGATTGTCAGGAGGAAGTAAGACAAATCATTCATCCATCCAATACAATGTATCGCAGGTTAAGCTCATATCGTGAAAACAAATTGAGACACAAAACGCTTACCACCGGCTAAATGGAGAGGTTGGAACAAGCGGATAATCTTACTGACAAAATCTGATCACCGCTGTTACGTGAGGTTAAAGAAAAGATTAAATGCCAAAGTCCAAAGCGATGGAAGATGTTCTCAGACCAAGCTAGAAGCCATAATGTAAGCTAATCCAATATATACTTGGAGATTTATGACCAGGAGAAAGCTCACAAACTAAGGAATCTGCACTCCTAAAGGGCCTAAAGGAGAACATCCTACTAACTTAAGGATGGCAGAGATATTTTGACTCCAGCTTTGTAGACCAACTTAAGCAAGAGCCTGCAATTGAAAAACACCTCCCGACTTAAGATCTTATTAATGGTCTGAAAAACATCCATCTGACTCCCGGGATATTATTTAAGATGCTAAAATTCTTGATCCCAGAAAAGTCATCTGGATGCAAAAACACGACCTATAATCCTGAAACCGTGCTCAGAAGCCATCAGCACTCACTATACCTGAACAAGCTCTTAAGAGAATGTGAACAGGCCACTCGCACTCCAATATTCAAAAGGAGAGATAGAACGAATCCAGCCTGTTACTTACCAGTCGCAGTACTCCCAATATTTCCAGAGATAATGGAAGGATCGGTCCATAAAGAGATGTGAGAAAAAATGAGAAAAACCATAGTCTTGTGGTGACCGGCTGGTCTCGATAAGAACACGATTGAAATAACAGAAACAATTATTATTATTGTAACCAATTGTACGAGAGATTGTTTTACTGTATTTGTTTAACTGTATCAGACTCACTTCTTGTTCCGCTATCCGCCTTGTTCGGTTCGAATTTTCTTAAGCTCTGCCCATTTTGCCTGTACCCGTTGGCACGTCTCGGTATTCTATCGATACCACGAGATCACCAATAAATATACTTGATCTTTATTAATAAAGCCTTCTGGTTTACGAGTTATCAAAGGAACCAAGTCGTTGCTGGGCGCGTAACCGAACTGTGGTAGTGATCATAGTCCGTCCTCGACTCGACCCTACTACAGTCTCTATGAGGCTCAACACGAGTTCAGGAAGGGCTGATCATATGTATTAAATCTCCTGATAGCATGTGAAAGGTGGACGACGTTCTAGGACCGTAAGGAACCGTTTTATGTAATATTCTGCCGTTTCACAAAAGCCTTTGACACAATACTCCATGTACTTCTAGTGGAATAGGCTGCAGAGATTGATTTCATTAACTCATTTTTATGTTGGCTCCTGAACTATCAAGATAACAGAATGTTTTGCGCCAAGGTAAATAGAATTTATGCGGGTTGAGGCTCTCAACATAAAGAGCTTCATAAGGAACGATTTCAGGTTCACTCATGTTAATGATCCTTGTTAATTACCAGTTAGATATAATTAGCTCGGTGGCATTAGAACATGAAAACAATGAGACAGTCAGAAGGTTCATGAAAGGCTCAAAGTATTCATTGGAGCTAAAAAAGAAGTTTATAACAATCGAGGAATGAACAGTAAAGAACGAGTTGAAACTTAACCTGTCGGAGTGTCATGTTGTGAACAATCTGACTCATTTGACACAAAGCACTTAATTTTTCCATGGGAATCCACTCTCGATTGCCATCTCAGAGGGTGATCTCGGGCTTGTAACCACAGATAAACTAGACCAGTTGAAGATCACATGGAACATCTAGCTAAGGCAAACGCAACTCTCCACTTTATTATATATATATGGCTTGGAATAAAGCTTGAGGAAAGCTAGGAGAGGCCAAATCGAGACATTGGACCAACCAATTAAGTCACTATTTGTTGTCTGAGCCTTGTGTCGGAACTCTTTATAAAAGAGTTTATGTGATAAGTATAGTCAGTAATTAAAAATATTAGGTGAGATGATTTAAAATCGGTTGGAAGGTCGCAGATAAATCTACTTTTGATTTTCTCTGGAATTTTTAAATATGAATTTGATTTCATACCTTCACTATATAAATTCATTCATTCTTTTTAAACATGTTTTATGAATTAAGTTTATCTTATAATCAGAAGTGGTTTTGTGGAGATTTTAGTAATTTTATAGAGTTGAAATCATGAGTCAACTGAAGCTAGATCACCATGGAAAACCTGGAATCTCGCGAGGCGGTATCATGGATGCGCACTGCTGAGGAGCCCCATAATGGGACGAAACGGCCATACAGTGCTTCTAGGTTTTCCATGGTGGTCCAGTTTCAATTGAATCATGATCTGAACTTTATTTTATAATCCTTATTACCATTATTGTTTTAAATTCTCTGATATGCCTACTATTATTTTATCTCACTGACCTAATGTAATGTGACAACAATGCGAGATCCCAAGTTGGCTATGATTGTTTTAAACTTACTAAAACGTAATAACATAACTCTTTTAGTATCCAGAATCATTTTAATGAATACGAATATAATTTAACATTAGTTCACAAATAACATAACATCATTGGATATACAAGACTTTATTAATATGAGTTTCAATTTGTCTATTCAATAAACAGCAGTGTTGTTCTAATTATACCTGTTCACATGGATGAATGAGTTGCTTATGTAATCATCTCTCTCTCTCTTTCTTTCTCTCCATATATATATCAAGTAATGATAAATAAGTATGTATAAGTAATTTGTATTGTTTGCATAAACTGTACGACAAATATAAAGATTACTGAATATTTAAGTTTATAATAAATACATTATCATATGAAGATTTTAACTATAACCTTTCTAAATGGATTGTTGTAAAACATAGGCAAATGTATCCAAGTTCAAAGAATCTATTGGGTAATATAATAATAAAAAATACAATAAATTACCCAAGAAACAATAAACATATAAGGATAATCAATTAATCAATCAATCAATCAATAAAAAGTCACAACCAATGATAATAGAAGACAGATATAATAAATAAATAAATAAATAATATTGATTATTTGAAGAATCAGATGTTTTTTTTCTTTCTTTTTAGAAAAAACAAAACAAACAAACATCAAAAGCTGCATTATTGTTTATTCAAACAATCAAAAAGAAAAAGAAAATAAATAAATAAACACTCGGTAATAATGACTATGTGAAACAGTTGTTTTTTCTCTTGTCTTTGTTTGTTTTAAATATTCCTGAATAGTTCATTCAATCAACAATGTTATAGTCAATGGGAATAATGAATTTATAAATAATAAATAAATAAACAGTTAATTATAATACTAAATAAAAAGACTACTTAATAAATAATAATTAATATATATCACAACTATTAATTATAATAATAATAATAATAATCACAATAATCTGAATTAAAGAAATCACAACTTTGATTTGAATAAGTATCATTTAAAATTTTAAATAATGGTTAATTTAAATGATCACAACCTTGAAATTTAAATTATCGCACCATTTTTGATTGGTCGATAATAGAAAAGATATCAAATAAATAAATAAATAAATAAATTTTTATAATTGCAATGTTTACAAATAAACAAATAAGATGGGATAAATAAAATTTTATATTCAACGGTAATAAAGAATGAAAATAAGAAAAGTCTAGAACAAGTTTGTTTTCTTTAAATAAATGGAATGAATATTAATTTTATTGAATTGTATGCCATTTGTTTGAATATATTCAAAGGTAAATGTTTTGGTTATGTATTTAAAACTGTTCACCAAATATATAATGAGTTTAATCTAATCAAGACCATCATTGACTTTCTTTGGCATTGATTCGTTCATTGAAACCATTTATGTTGGTTTATGTAAGTTTAGACTATTTGAATTCGATGTAGTAGTTGTAGTGACAGTTATGGCGCTTGTTATGACTAACATTGTTTCTAATTCCTGTGTTATATTATCATTCAGAATTTCTAATTTTTCACCTTTACGCGGTAATCGTGTAGTTTTAATTGATGGTCGATTAAAACGATTCCCAATACGTATTGAACCTGTCATAGATTGACGTTCTTTATAACAACGAAATATATCATATTTTAAACGTTTTGAATCTGCTCGGAAATAAATATCCGTAATATATGATATACAGACACTAACTATAAAACTGATTAGCATAGCAAATGTTTTACATGGAAATCGTTGATAAAAATCATTTGGATCATCAACAAAATAAGGATAAACAATTAATGGTCTCAATTTTAATACACTTTCTCCACTAGTTAATCGAACAAATAAACCAATCAAATAACTGCATAATGAACCATAGGTATTTGAAAACTTAACATATAGAACACAAATCAATTGTGGAAACAAAATAACATAAACAAGATCTGAGCATAAATACCATAAACCATAAATTGACTGGATACTAATACCTAACCAACATGCAAATGCTCCAATAACAAATATACTTGCACGCATTATCCATAAAACTTGTCTTTCACTAGCTTTTTGCCAAAATATTGCTTTGACAACATTCCTAGCAAACATTGATGCAGCGGATAGAACTGAGGAATCGGCTGAAGACATGACAGCAGCTGAAACTGCACCTAAACCAACAAATGATATCCATGGTGGGCATAGATAACGTAATACTAATGGTAGAATTAATTTCATTTCTTCTGGTGTACTTGGTAATTCTGAAGTTGTATTATAATTTGTCATTGTCCAATCTGGCGATAGAAAACAACAACAGAAAAACGATATTTAAGCTGAAACTACTATTCTCAACTTGAAAATTGACAAATCAGATTTAATAAGTTCATACGATAATTGTACAAGACTAAAAACCCTATTTACCATGTGCAACTAGAAAACACCCATCAATCGCTTTTACAGAGTTGGGTAGGGCAAAGCTTGAATCTTTTTAAAGTCAATTCCCTAAGTACTATGGTACTTCTGCTATATTTCGAGAATAAGCGGGCTTATATGAAATTTATTTTTATTAAGAGCATGCCAATTTACTAGAAATCAAACTGACAAATTTGTCGTTCCATTTTCCTGAAGCTTTCTTAACTAGTGTTAAAACAATTAGTTGGAGCGATTGAATTCAGATATTTTATTTTTGAGTGTCTCTAACTAGAAAATATAACCATGGTCACCAATTACTGATCAATTAATATGTGAACATCTTAATCCTATAATGAGCCACTCATGGTTTAAGTGAATCCACAGTGGTCGGTTTTCTCGAGATTTACAAGATACCTTGCTCATAAGTACCAGATAATATAAAATCTAGGTTCCAGGGTTCTTCCTGTCTCCAACTACTTATTATTTTGAAGTTTGTTTTCAGCTTGTTTTCAGTAAGCAATTTTTATGTCAAGCTGATCAACCCGATATTTGTATAGATAATCTCATTCATCTAGAATAACAGACATCTCAATTTAATATAAAAAAATAAGATGACTTTAAAGATTTTCAACTTATGGATGAAAAATGTAAATATTGTAGTCGTATGATGATAAAATCTTATTGTCAGTCGATAAGTAACTCTAGCTATTTACCCTAAACATTACATAACCAAATCAATATGACTGATGTTTAACTTTGCAAATTCACCTCCCCCCATTGAGTAGTATTAGAGGAATAATTCAACTCACATGTTAGATGGTAAGATAAAACATAATTTCAATCATGATCGAACATATATGCGACATTTAAGATGTTAGAATAGATTGAGATCAACCTCTTATGTTATTTACTTCTAATGTATTGTACCATTGAAAATTTTAATCACAGTGTTGTATGGTTAGAAAGTCAGTCGTATTTGCCGATTGTTGGTTCCCTTCAGTTAATAAGCATACTAGGATTAATAGGAATTCTTTAATTCTAAAATGTATATGGACAGATATCGTATTTCATCATTTGATTATCATTTAAATGAACTCATTTTGCTGTCATGTTAATCACTTATGTAACTTTATGATGGCTTTAAATCCATTTATTTTATCGGATTAAATTTTGATAGGAATAAGCTTATGTATAATTAGATGAAGTTAGTTGAGGTGGAATTCTGAGTTATTATTTTATGATGTTGGCTCATTGCTATCCCACTGACCTTGAGTTGAATTGATTAGATGGATGCATATATTTATGAATTGTATAGATATAATCAATTTTATTGTTGTGTGAAGGACCTTATACTTCCATATCAGTCATTTGTAATGGAGTTGATAATGTCTGCATTGTCCTCAAAATTTGTTTTAAATCATTCACAGTTATCGTGGATGCGCATTCTTAAGGAGTCCCATAATAAGACAAAACGGCCGTCCTGTGCTTTCAGGTTTTTCACTGTGGTCTAGCTTCAATTGACTCATGAACTGAACTTTTAAATTATTATAACATCCACAAAACCACTTTCTTATATTAAATCATTCAGTCAGTCAGTTTAAATTTAAATCATTTTTCAGTTATATCAATAGTATTCAATGGTATTGTCTCACGACTATCAGTACCATTCTCTGAAGTGAGTTTAAAAAGTTTGTAAAGTTTATACTTTGCTCATAATGGCTCTGTTGTATAAATATGTTTGCCATATACGATAATATAAGTTACAATATTAGCATTTTTTAAAGAAATCTATTGTCAAATGAACAACAAGTCGTTTTGTAAATTATTAGGCACTAAAGTAAAACTCGACCTTTTCTTAACAAAGCAGTATCTGGACTAAAATATTTAGCTGCAGCATTTTACAAGAAAGAATAATAATTATACAATTGTAGGGTCTGTTTCAAATAATTTAATGAATGAAAGAATTTTTTTAAAAGCCTAATATCAATTCTTTGTTCAATTCTTTTAAAAAAAATTAACACTACGATTCATATGCTCACTAGTGACTTTCCCCAAGAGGTATTTCCTGGAGTTCTAGTGAGAAGTAGTGACCAGTGAAGTTCAACCCGTTCTGTTGTGAGATAGTAACCCACTGAAGAAAAAGGTGGACGGTTGCTCAGTTTTGTAGATTGGTTGAAGTTAAACATTAACACCATCGGATGCCGGCCGGCTCAGTGGTCTCTAGGTTAAGCGCTCGCGTGAGAGACTGATAGGTCCTGGGTCCGAATACCTAAGGGCGGGATCATGAATGCTCAAAGCTGTGGAGTCCCACACTAGGATAGAACGGCCATTCAGTGCTTCCAGGTTTTCCATGTTGGTCTAGATTTAATTGACTCATGAGTTCAACTAGAAAATTACTAAAATGTCCACAAAACCCCCTTCTGATAAGTGGATTAAATTTAGAAAGTTTTATGAAATTAGTTTAGATTAATGTTCATAAATAGAGTGACTATTTCATTCATTTAGCTAACTTATTCGGAATTAATTAAAGCACATTGTATTATAATTATCAACATTATTATTCACTGAAGTGTTTTTTGGAAGTCATGTGTACAGTTTAAAAATAGTTCTCTTAAAAAGTTACATCCACAGAATCACAACTGACAATCATGTAGAACTGGACAGTTGTTGAGACATATTTTTTAAGCTTTTAAGCTATTCACACGTATGTATAAACACTTAAGAGATTAAACACAGTATATTAAAGTCTGTGTTTACTGAATAATACACTTTATGATGAAAATTTTTTGTTACTATGCAAGTTCCTCTATAAAAGCTTGAAAATAGTTTGTTGATTACAGATTATCTCCATGATATGTTTGCATCAAAAAGTATGGGCTAAATATATTCACTCAATGACAACATTACTTAATGACTGACTATTGAATTTCTACTCAATGGTCTTAATGAATGATACGGGCTATGAAACTTGAAGAAAGTTTGATTATGTATACAGTTAAATGTGCCCGCTATTGAACTATCCTCATACTGAGGTGCAAAAAATATCCATTACTCAATGTATACATATATATACGATTTTGCAATAAACCATACTTTTCACTCATCAAAATACTCAACATTCACTGGTGGGATACTATCAGCAACAGCGTTTTATGGGAGAGGACAAACCAGCTTCCAGCTGAAGAGGAAATTAGGAAAAGACGTTGAAAGTGAATACGATGCACACTAAAGAAATCACCAAACTGCATCACGAGGCAATCCCTAACCTGGAATCCGGAAGGGAAGCGGAAAAGAGGAAGGCCAAAGAACACATCAGGCCGGGAAATAGAAACAGATATAAAAAGGATGAATGTCAACTGGAAAGAACTGGAAAGGAAGGCCCGGAACAGAGTTGAATGGAGAATGCTGGTGTGCGGCCTAGGCTCTTCCATGAGGGGTAACAGGTGTAAGTAAGTAAGTAGGTAAGTTGTCTTTAAACATTTGTTTATCTTTATTTTAATTAATTTTAATAAATTTCATATGAAACAAAGTATCATCTTTAGCAAAAATTATTTTATTTGAAATTTGTAATTTGAGTAAATGTTATATAACATTGACTATATAGTGAATAAATATACACATACTTGTACTTGCTCCAACAGCTCCAATTAAAACTGACGGAATCGCCATAGCGAAACATCCAATTGAAGCTACAAAACTTAAAATACGCGCTTGATTTGCAGTTTTTGATGACAGTACACGCTAATTTGATTGATAGGAAAGAAAATATCATAAGTTGTTAGTTTTCAATATACAGTGATTATTTATTTTCAACACAATGATACAGTACAGTTTTTCGTGATATTCGACATTTATTAGTTAGCAATAAATAAGATATTGATATTAGAAGGGGTTTTGTGAAGATTTCAGTATTTTCATAGTTGAAAACATGAGTCAATTGAGGCTAAACCACCATGGGAAACCTGGAACCACTGGACGGCCACACTGCTGAGGAGTCCCACAATAGGACGAAACAGCCGTCCAGTGCTTCCAGGTTTTCCTTGGTGGTCTAGCTTTAATTAATGAATGCTTTCAACTATGAAAATATTGATATTATTTAACTAGTAAGACCATTATTACTGGAGTTATGTGATATAACAATGTAATACACTTAATCACACAATCACTTGTCAAGACCTTTATCTATAAAAAGTAGGTGAAGTAGACGAACAGAAGTTAAAAGAAAGCAAAGCTAATGAAAGAAGCAATGCAGGAAAATATGTGAGATTCACCATACTGAATATTAAATCGGTATTATCAAGTTAGATTTAGAAGGAAAACATATTGTTTTTGAATATATGTATAGGTTTTGAATTTCCAAAACTTTAGTGTTCACCTTAGATAACTCTTCACAAACCATAAAGGCTGAGTTAAGATCAGTGTTATAACCTGTTTCAACTATGTATTCAGTGATAGAAATTGAGTGTTTATCATCTGGTTTTATTAGGTCATTTGATTTTATTTGTTTTACTAACCATTTTGTCACATGTTTAAAGACCTTAATTTACAAATCATGACTACTTCTTCTCATATATATGTGACCACACATAAGTGTAAAGCTTCCATACTTAAGTTTTCGTAACAAGTACATGTGTGATCACAATGTTCCAGATGCACTGCGCTAGTATCTCACTTCGTTCCGTTAATCTTCCTCTTCTTCATTTTATGAAAAGAACTAATTATTTTACATTAATTTACGATGAAGGAAGGTTGAATATTTTAACATTAGTATTAGTTGTATTACTATGACTCTAATTATAAACCTGTACTCAGTTTTTCTAAATTATTAAGAAGTGAGTTGCTTAAACATCAACAACCGTCAATAAGGGAAACAGTTCAAAAATAAATTTAAATTACAATTTCATCAAGCTTTTCCTGTTATATCCCGATAACAAAAGTGATTGGTAACTTTGGGACCCATTTATGGACCAATATTATGCATATAATTTTTATCGTATAATTGCTAAATAATTAAACTATTCATATTCATGTTCCTTTCATTGTGAGCTTTATTTTGACCCGTAGATTATTATTGTACGATTTACCATTCCTGAGATATACCAAGTCTATTAATTACTGCTCCCCCTATTCACAGCCATATTTAGTTAATTTTTGTACAAATTGACTCATGCTTTCAACTATGAAACATACCAAATCTCCACAAAACCCCTTCTAATAATTAATATAATCATATGCTCACTAGTGACTTCGGGAAGTACATCCAGGAGCTCTAGTGAGAAGCAGTGACCAGTGGAGTGCAAACCACGTCTGTCGTGAGATAGGAACTCACTGATGACAATTGGTGAATGGTTGCTCAACTTCGTGGATCAGTTGAAGTTAGACATTAACACCGTTGGATGCCAGCTCAGTGGTCCATCGGTTAAGGACTTTGGCTCGAGACTGGTAGGTCCTGGGTTCGAATCTCGCTCGCGAGAGCGGGTTCGTGGATGCGCATTGCTGAGGAGTCCCATAATGGGACGAAACGGCCGTCCAGTGCTTCCAGGTTTTCCTCGGTGGTCTAGCTTCAATTGACTCATGCTTTCAACTATGAAACATACCAAATCTCCACAAAACCCCTTCTAATAATTTTGCACAAATGTTGTTTTCTATTTTATTGGTACGATGTGGTCAGTCTGTTTGGTCTATAAACTCAGTATGTTTGAAATACGATGATTCATATTGCAGAGGCTGTTATTGGTGTTCTGGACTTAACTGGCTGGGCTAGACAGAAAGCAGGACCGATTAGAACTCTAGACTGCTCGTACGGTTTTCATGTGTCACTGTTCCAATCGATAATTCGCTGCTCTCTGATTGGCAGTCTTATCACTTTATACATTAACTGGGCATCCACTAGGCCACAAGACATAACATTTCCATAGATGACTTTTTAGTTAAATATTTACCGAAAAAATACTGTATCTGAGATTAATTGTTCAGTGTTGAACTTTTATTCTACCTTTGTCACTTAGTAATTTAAGCAAACCTAATAAATTCATTCATGAAATGTTAAAGCTTCCAGTTTTATGCATTACGACATAATAAGGTAACGAAAAACCTGGAAGTTCTGGATCTTTTGTTCGAAAGAAATTCTAATAAAGAAAATATTAATGAAGACAAATTCTAATTTGGTTGAAATAATAGATGTTTGCTTGAAACCATTGACCTTGAACAGTTCATAATCTGGCTTGAAAATCCATTACAGCATGGTTTTGTACACTTCACGTTGTTCAATTCTATTTGTATTATATAGTTGTTAAAAAACTATAGGAAAGAAGCCCCGAACCTTAGTTTTGTCTTATTTGGAACTTGTTACGAAGTTGTATTTCTAAGAATAAAGAAACAAATATTCCTTTCCTTGATTCAACACAAAGATAACTTCAAACGAATTGAACCACGATGTGAAGTCTTTAAGTTATCAAGCAAAACGTAACTTAAATATTATAATATAGCGTATTGTTGATAAATTCGAACTGTAAATTTATTACAAGCTAGAAATACTAGAAAAATTACCTGAAAATAAACTTGCCAAGGTATACCACCAAAAATTAACATCAATAAGTTGTCCACATAGAAGAAGCTATCCATTGGATCAACGCTACCTTTCCATTTATTCCATGTCTGTGTAATTGGCACTGTTGCTTCATTAACCATGGCGAATGGTATAGAAATCCACTGAGATTGTAATTAAAAATTAAACGATTTTCAAAGAATAAAACCAAAAAGTAAAAAACGTGGAGTTAAGCAAGTGAATGGTTTTACGATTGTAAGTATATTTGATCGGTATTGAAAATATCATCATCATGTTGCTGATGATTTATGATTATTACTCAATAATTATAGTTTAGGTGAAGTGATCCTATTATGATTATTTTAGTCTGTGCATAACTCAGATTAGCAAATGAAAACCAATGAGCATCAAAACAGCAACTACGTCCTAACATAGAACTCCTCAATAGTACATATCTATAATTTCACCAAGGATAAAGTCACTTACGAAATCTCCCAACAACATAAAAACATGTATAATATAATCAAGTGATATGATTTGAGATGGTTTATGGAATTTATATTTGAGAAGTATTGACCGGTAGAATCTATGCGATTCATGATTGACATACTCATCAATAGTAGCTTTGGACGATGATCACGCTTTATTCTGAACTGATTGAAGTTGGAAATAAGTACCATTTGAAGTCAAACCATTGGTCCTCATGGTTGAGTTCCAGTAGTAAAAGTGATAGTAGTCACAGTTTCAATATTTTGGTGCATACTGCTGATCAATCCCAAACTAAAACAAAACAGTTGTATGGTGGTTTCTGGCTTTTGGTATTTTTCTAAATAAGACCAATCGCCAATGGCTATCACCTAACTGATAATTATGTAAGACGTTAAATCCAGAAAAGACACTGACATTTAAAATCTATAAATCAGTGTAGTAAGTAGTTGGTATCTAAATCCCCTCTTCATTCGGTTTTGAAAAAAATTTCATACCCCGCTACCATATAAAGTAAAATCAAACAGTATGATTTGGAAACAGAGACTAAAAACAATCATCAGAGAAGAATATAAGGACTACGAAATTAACTGTCGCAATCTATATGAGTATGTCAACACAGTTATAGAATATGTACTCAAATGGTTTATGATCAGTTAGCTTTAAATTCTCCGATAAACTCAGAGTGTAGGTGTAGGTGAGTTGAATGAACCTATACAGGTTAAAAAATGTTCTCTGAATTGGGAGAATAATTGCCACAAAATAGATTCACATGACAAGTTTATCGTTACACTGAAGCTCTAATAAGTTTATTCTAGATTAATAGACATAGATATGAATGGGTGTATAAATTTCTTGAGAAGATTATTTGCATGCAAGCGAAGCTGTATATTCTGTGGTCCATGTTTAATCTTTATCAGGCATATTTCTCTAATTACTTCATCATTGTAAAACCCATGACCTAAAAGTAACTTGTGTTTTAGAATGAAGACAATTTTCACAAGTTGTTGAATATTTTCAGCTAACCTGTTTTTATATTTAGAAAAAAGTAGCACCCGTTTAAATTTGTCTATTAGGTTTGTGTAAATTACAGATTACTCAACCAATCACAATTGATTGATCACTGGGTGGGGATCAATGTCATGTGTGTCAAGTCCTTCTTAGTGCTGATTGAATGCTATCGATCAAGTTGCAACGTGGCCACTAGTCTAGGTGGCTCGACACTGCGTGCACTATGTTGAGATAAGATGGTGGTTGGAGGTGGTCAACAGGAAACCCTGGACCCAGGTTTCGTGCTACTTGGCACTCGTCAGCAAGGTATACCTGTAATCTTGAGGGAACTGGTACTCCCTGACGGATTCGATCCCGCGTCACCCAGCTTCACAGTCAGAGACGTTACTTAACCAATAATCTAAAGTATATCGTGCCAAGTAAAACAAACAACAAACTAAAACTTACCAAGCCAAAGAATATGCAGAATAACTGAACAACATCTGTATATGCAACGGAATATAATCCACCAAATAATGTATAAACCAATGCTATACATGCTGATAGAATGATTGAAGTTTTCTGATCTAAATCCACTATCACGCCTAATGTAGCTCCTACAATGAAAATAAAATCACACTCAATACATATTTATATGTATAACGTTTATATCTAAGTATGAATTCAAATGGTCGTTTCGACGATTAGCTTGACTGAAATTTACAATTAAAATAAACTAACTATCTAACGATCCCTGGCTAGTAGTGATAATTTTCAAATATAAGATATTTGTAATTTCAACTGATTCTTCTAATAAATTATGTTGTTTACTGGTTTAATGGTCATATGTTTTAAGTATTAGAATGGGGATAATTGTTTTGGTTGAGTTTTTAATTGACATTGACAACTGTGTAATGTAGTTACTGAGACCGCGTCAATTGCTTTTATCACAAAGATTATTCGTCTTCACTTTTGCTAACTAATGAGTTTAGAAAGACTAGGAAGAAAACGAACTTATCGGTAATAACGAACAAGTTGATTAATGACTGCCACTAGCTCCATGATTACTTACCAAGAGCAGATAGAATAGCTGCTGTCCAGAATACTTCACCAAGTAATGCTGGAATAAAAAGCAGACCGCACATACGCTCACCATATTTATTTTGAAATGGATCAAGCATTGTAACATAACCCAAAGTACGCATACGATTAGCAAAGAATAATCCACCTAATTAACAAAAATAAGAGTACTATTAACAATGTATATGGTATTTAGAGTAAGCAAATGACCATTTAGCATATTGAGTATTACAAAAGTTTTATTTGCATCATTTGAACTAGACGAGTTATTGTACGTACAACTTACCTATCGAATATATATTTTCATAATCACTAGCATTCTATAGCTTTTAAACATGTTGCTTTTGATGATCACTATGTTGTGGAAAGTTGACAAGGTTGTACGGAAACACACCCAGTTGATGGATTTGAATATGATTTTCCTTGAATTACTATTATTGTACTGAACGGGAACACAAGTGGGAACAACCAAATGTATTTGAACACAAAATTACAGAACATCTTAGTAAAATCTGAGAACCATACAGTAAATATTTCATTTGCAAAATATCAGTTAATAGTCTCAGACTTCATTGTTCCTTCATTTCCACACCATCCACTCGCTGTTGTCATTCTCTTTTCTTCGATCTTAACCTCCTGCTGCCAGCCATTTCATTTTCGATTGATGACACATACTATTTATATCTGTCAACATCAGTAGCACACACAACACTATCTTTGTATAATTACTAAATCAAACAATCAGCAGGGTCCTTGATGTTTCAGTTAGCATGAAGTATCATAGTCTAACAGTATATTGTTAAAACTCTCGTTTCTTACATAGAATAACCTCACGGAAAACCTTGTGAATACAAAATGAATCCTATAGTGATCTCATATTGCATATTTACTTCATGAACAATATACACTCCAATCATCTAGTATCTCTTCTCACATCGAACGTTCATGATTCAATATGAGAAGAAAACTTTGATGCATTAAGTTTGTCGACTTGTTTTGTACATCCAAACATCGAACGAGTTCACAAGAGACATGGATTTTTGATGCCTAATAAAAACAGAACTTTACAACGATATTCTGGTGCCGTGTATTCTTCTGACAGATGACATTCAACTTCAACTGATAAATTACCTAGAATATTCTTGAAAGTTCAACCAAACAGTTCTAAGCCAAGAAGAATAAAGCAAGAACTTCCAAACTGTCTATTAAAAAACAGTCATTTCACTTACCCACTACTAAACTTAGCGCATATCCAACTGGAGCTTGACACCAAACAAGACCTTGAGTTGGATTATAAGTGTTCTCAGCCGTTCCATTTATGTAGCCTCCACCTACCCAGGTAGCTAAAATAATATAGGCGTATCATCATGACGGATTTTAGAAACATTACAATACTTAGAAATATTTAGAAACTCGTTAGTGTAAACAGTAGTAAAATTAACAATCATTGTAAGTAATAGAACAGTAAGATACAAGTCAACGAACAAAAAAATCTATTTCAAGTTCAATCAATAAGGCTTGTTTACTTATCCTAGCTAACTTATCAACAGTAGCAACAATTCGTGTAACATTCATAACGATATCACAACAATAAATCTTGCTTTAAATAGGGAATGAAAATTTGAGGAATTGCAATGAGTAGTCATATGCCTCATCATGGGTTTCCAAACGATTTATATACAGTTAGTTGACATAGATTTTCCAAAAATAACCAAATACGAAGTAACATGTGTTATAAAGCTCAAGTACACACATTTATTATTTTATTTATTTAAACATATAAAAATTGGTACAGGGATGCACCAGATACATATGCGCCACACAAATCTCATTCGATTTGTGTGAGGGCTTCGATACTGCTCAGGTGCCTGAACTGAAGCAGGTGGTTTTCTTAGGGATCCACATCCGGAGACTTTGACCGAAAGATCTGATACACAAGGCAGTGGAGCATCGTAAGGAGATGCAGTCACATGGTAGCCGGTGATCAACGATTGATTCATTCGCCATTTGTTCCCTCAGGATACTGGAGCCCATGTGCCCCATTGGTTTGTAATGAGGGTTTTCCAACTCCCCTAGGTGGACTTTCCGTGTCCACTAACCTGATTAAAGTGCCGGAAATTCGCTTTTCGTCCTCTAAACTTCGTAAACAACAGTGATACCACTGTGAGAAGGCAGTGAGTAGGACTTCCCTGTTAGAGGCTATATACTCGTGACCGTGTGAGAGCATTTCGAGAGCGAGAGCGGACTCTTCCCACTCTCGGCCGTACCAGGGCATTTGGGGGCATGTACACACACACACACACACTTAGAATGAATTACTTACATCGAACTTATACTTAGATAATATTTTAGTCTGTTTTAATATTTCCTTTCAGCTTATTATTGAGACAAACCAACTTTTCTATTCCTTCTCCTTTTTCTTTCTCTGCTACATTCACGTTTTCATCACCTACTTACTTTTATATAAGAAATTGATAATCAATAATTTTCGAATGGCAACATACTTTTTACTTTCTTCCTAAATAATAAAATAGAATCTAATTGAAAACCAATCAGATATGGTTAAGGATATTTGATTTACTTTCTTTCATATTATTTGTTGAATTATTCAATTTTATAGGTCTGTGAATGCTTGAATATAAAGTACGAAAAGGTGAGATTGTACTAAGTTGATTTTTTTTCAATGTTTAATGTTAGCATGACAACTAAGGTTGATTTCATGTTATAATAGAGTTGAAGAAAACATGTATAGCTAACAAATTCAATCTATTACTTTATATGCTTTTCAAGGTTAAAATATATTCAGAAAGACTGAAATCAATTTGAAAAGTATATAAGTAATCAGTAGATTCTCATAGTTGAAAGCGTGAGTCAATTTAAACTAGACCACCAGGAAAAACCTTGAAGCACTGATAATAATAATTTATATGCTCACTAGCGACTGGCTTCGAGAGGTAAATCCAGGAGTTCTAATGAGAAGCAGTGACCATTGGAGTTCAAACCACGTCTGTTGTGAGATAGGCAACTCACTGAAGACAATTGGTGAACGGTTGCTCAACTTCGTGGATCAGTTCAAGTTAGATATAAACACCATCGGATGCCGGCCGGCTCAGTGATCTAGTGGTTAAGCGCTTGCGCGCGAGACTGGTAGGTTCTGGGCTCGAATCTCGAGAGGCGGGATCATGGATGCACACTGCTGAGGAGTCCCACAATAAGACGAGACGGCCATCCAGTGCTTCCAGGTTTTCCCTGGTGGTCTAGTTTCCATTGACTCACGCTTTCGACAATGAAAATACTAAATCTCCACAAAAAAAACTCTTCTGATAATAATAATCAGTAAATTGTTAAATATTTGTTCTTTATGAAGTTTCTTGCTTTCGAATTAATGTGGAACATGTTTATTGAGTAAAAATTATAGATGAAGGAATTATTAATTCACTTAGTGTTGTTTGTTTAGATCTTCCCATTGATGATGTGTTAGGACTGCAACTGGTCAGTCTCTTATTGGCATATATGTGCATACTGTGCCTCGATATAGCCTAAATTCACAAGCATTATAAACAAATATGGATGGTGGCTAGCAGAGGAATGCAGGACACGTGCTTCGTCCTATTTGGGACTCGTCAGCTGTATGTACCTGCATCTCAGAGTTGATGTTCACTCTGGGACTCAAACCCAGTACCTTTCGCTTCAAACGCTATCGCGTTTAAAGCGGATTACTTAGCCTGTCGTATGTCCTGATGGTGTTCTCGTGACTTTCGGGTTGCCTGATCTGCCAAGGGCGATGGGACAGTCCATGACAGTATTGTTGTGTGCTAGGTTCAAAGAGAATTGTTTGCTATATGCAAGTCTGCCCCGTTGTTGTTCCTATTGTTGTTCCTAGCTATCGCGTTTGAGATGGAGGCATATCCAGCTGACGAGTCCCAAATAGGACTTGACACGTGTCCTGGATTCCACTTCTAGCCACTATCCATCTTTGCTTATTAACCATTTGTAGTTTATTCTCTGAAGTCAGTTCATATTTGAAAATTAACTTCATATTGAATGATCTTTAATTCTACATTATACTTTTTATAAAAAATGAAATAGATTTAAATTATTTATCAACTAACCTGTCATTGTAAATATACCAACTAATAAACCAATACTTCTACCAGCTAACATAACTTCTTCTGTATCAGTTCCAGTAGAATTATTAGTTTTTCCTTTACGTGCAGCCCATAATCCAACAAATAATATTAATAAATAGAATACAATAATTGCAATTAATCCAGGTATATAAATCATTGTTTATTGATTATTGATTATTGATGAAAAGAATATCCCAACAATGAATGAAGGAATCAAGATGTTCAATTTTTTGTTCAACTCATAAATATGTTGGTAACTAAATAAAGAAAAGTAATAATTACGTAATATTCATTGGTCTATATAAAGTATAGTATAGTATAGTATGATGATTGAACACTATACAAGAAGATTATTAATTTGACAAAAAGATATATAAATTTTGTCAGTAGTTAAATATGTTGATTTGAGTAGTATGAGCCATCCTAAACTATAATGTGAATGTTAATTTTTGATAAAAATTGTGTAACAAAGATTTTCGAATGACAATTTGCAAATCTATGTGTATTCAACAGATTGGTGACACAATATTCCCACACAAACGTATAGACAAAAGCTAGATGGATCTTACTGGATCATATCATGGAGAACAAGTGAGATGATATTTGTATCAATAAAATATTCAGAAGGACAATGGGAGATGTGAGAATAAGGAGAGGAGCTGATATAGCTTCAAATCACCATCTGGTTGTGGCCAAGATGAAACTGAAGCTAAAGAAACACTGGACAATTAGGTAAACAGCATTATGAAGGTTCAACACAGTCTTCCTTTGAGATAGTAAAATACTCAACGAATTCAAGATAACCAGATTACCTAGCTCTCCTATCTCATACACGCTAACAAATACAAACGAAGACAACTAATGTAGCAGGAGCCTGTGCATCAATAGGCCTGAACATACTCAAACGAAAAAGCAAGATTCTCAAATACAACTCGGAGAACACCAACCCAGTCACACTTGATGGAGAAACTCTGGAGGAGGTGGAAACATTCACGTACCTGGGAAGCATCATTGATGCATCATCGAATGCAGATGTAAAGGCGAGGATTGAAAAAGCGACAACAGCATCACTACAATTGAAGAACATACGGATTTCAAAATAACTGTCTGCCTACCATCATCAAAGTCAGAATCTTTAATATGAACGTCAAGACATTTATATTGTATGGAGCTGAAACTTGAAGGACTACTACAACCATCATCAAGATGGTACAACTTATTATAAACAATTGTCTATGCAAGATACTCCAGATCTACTGGCAGGATACCATCAGCAACAACCTACTACTGTGGGAGAGTACAAACCAGCTTCCAGCTGAAGAGGAATTCAAGAAAAGTCGTTTAAAGTGGATAGGACTTACATTGAGAAAATCATCAAACTGCATTACTAGGCAAGCCCTAACTTGTGATCTTGAAGATTAAAGGAAAAGTGAAAGAACGACTAGCACACTGCATCGGGAATCAGAAGCAAGCATAAAAAGAATGAATAACAACTGGAAAGAACTGAAATTGATTTCGCAGGACAGGGTTAGATGAAGAATGTTATTATTATTATTATTATTATTATTAATGGCTTTATTCAATATTATAATCTGGTACAATATAGAATTCTCAGCACGAGTTATTTCAACAAGTTTTTTACCAAAAAAGGAAACCCGAAAAAACAAACAAAACAAAACAAAACAAAACAAAAAAAACAAAAAAAAAAACAAAAAAAAAAAAAAAAAGGTCTAGGAAAAACCGACTTTATACAAATTATCGAATTTGAGACATGCTTAAGAAGACAGGTTATTTACTAGGTCAACTCTAACAGCCTGTTCGTCACAAAGTAAATTTGCTAAGTAAGGTATTACAGAACTTTTATAGATTTGCTTGCGTGCATGGATTTTAATGTATTTACGTCTCGTTCTACCAGAAGATATACAAGGAGAAAGATATGAATGAAGCGGATGGTTAGTATCTGATAAGATAACACCTGCCAAGAGTTTGCAACACTTAAGATGTCTATCCACAAGCATATTAACAATGACTTCAAAAGATTCACCACATACCTTGCAAACCGCCTTCAGCATTCTACGCAAAATAGCAAAGTCTTTTCTCAAAAGCCCAGGAAAGAATAATGGAGAACAATATAAAATAATAGGTAATATGCAGGAATTTACAAATTGTAAGAGTAAATGGCGAGTAATCCCAAAAGCATGCAGCCTCTTTATGTAGTATGTCAAGCGGTAAACTTTTTTCGATAATAGTAAAACATGAGAAGACCAAGAAAGATCAGAGGAAAAAGTAACACCAAGATATTTGACCCTCGACACTGTGTTTATTAAGGAGTCTCCAATGGCACAAGCATTATGGGATCCCAACATAGAGTATAGGTTCTGTCCATGTCTCAAGCTAAAATTAACAGCTTGACATTTAGATGGATTGAGCAAGAGACCATTACCAACAGACCACCTTTCAATACGAGACAAAAACTCATTCATTTCTATAGGATGTAAGGAGGTAGAAATTGGCATACATACAGTGAGGTCGTCCGCATATTTTACAAAAGTGTTTTCTGTGGAAGATGGCAGATCATGCAAAAAGAAAGAGAAGAGCAGAGGTGAAAGAACAGCTCCTTGTGGGCGGCCAACGCTCTTTCACGAGGGGTAACAGGCGTAAGTAAGTAATTATATATAGTCTGGAGTCTATAACTGGCCGAATTTCATGGAAGAAGAAATTTAGTACAGCTGACATTTTGAGATTCAGAAGAGTATTTGTAATAATTAAGCAATCAGCAAATATAATTTTCTTACTAGATAGCTTTAGGACAATTCCGCATCTACAATATTTCATGTCATCTACTTATTTCTCATTCTATTTAATGTAGTTTTACAGTGATATGGCATAATATGAATAAAAGAATCGGTGATATTAGTCCTATTTACAACAGTTGGATGTATATATCAAGTGATGATGAGGAAAGCCTTTCACTGTAACCTGTTTACTGACTGCATGCCATGTTGAAAAATCGATTATTTTTCGTCTCTGTTTAAGACTCATATTTGTTAACAGACTTATTCGATTGGTATGATCTCCACAAATGATCTAAATAAAAAGTTTATTGCGTGTTCTTTGATAATTATGTGTGAGGTGGATTCAAGGGTTGTATTGAAAGACCGTGAGTTTCTGGGACTCAACTGTGTCAGAGAGAGAGAGAAAATTCACTGAAAACATGGGATTACGGATATGGCATATTGATGTGTGCGCATCAGTTACCGTTAGATAGCGTACTCTATGCCAGACTTGGAGGTCTTAGAATTTCTACAATGGACAGTACCAAAGAACCGAAATTTCTTCCTAAAGAGCTGTCCAATGATTTCTGGATTTGAGTTGTGCTGCAACTTATTTCAATCCGCGATGAGATTCAACCTCAAACGTTTAGTTATATGTGATTCATAGAAATGCTATTTTTCGCAAGATCAATTGCCATGACGGAATATTGATTACTTACTTAATTTTCCAAAAAAAGTACTATCGATTTGTTTATTCCAAGAGGTTGATAAGAAATGTCAATTTATGATACAATGATAAGATTACTGGCAATGTTAATCTCAATCCTACTATGGACCTAAAAAAATGTTCTGTTTGAAATAATCAGTTAATACATCTATCTACTGAATCAAGCTTTGATAACCATTGAATGAAAACAAACTTTAACTTTATAATGAACACAACTTGACTTATGGTTATTCTAAATTACAGAACATTTAAAACGATCAAAATTTCATATAAAATATTGTAAGCAAAGATGGATAGTGGCTAGCAGGACACGCGTTTCGTCGTATTTGAGACTCGTCAGCTGGATGTACCTACATCTTGAAATTGATGTTCACTCTGGGACTCGAACACAGTACCTTCCGCTTCAAACGCCATCTCGTTACTGACTCGGCCTTTGTGTCCATTCAATTCATAAAGAATAACATTATCAAGTGTAACCAGAGGATAAGTAAATGCATTTTTATTATTTCAAGCTTTGTGTACATTTTCATTTATATGTTCAGCTCTATTAGTGTTTATAATACAATGTATTACCAAGAATTTATTATTTTCCATTTACCCTGTTCCTTATTTTCAATACTAAATAACCATTTGGTTGATATATTCTTATGAAATCAATCACTTCACCATTTAATGTTACGGATATATTCAGTTTCTCGGTATTACAATGAATCTCATTGTTACCATTCATACTTCATTTGCAGAATATATCACCTATTGTTTAAAAACGATGGAGTCAGGGGCATAAATTGTGAGAAGTAGCCATTACGTTGTATATTTATATGTATTTTGGAATACAGGTATATACAATGATAAGTTTATTCGCTTGTATAGGGCGTGGTTATCATGTGTCACATGTTGATTTCGAAATTCCCATACAAAAAATTATTTTCCCATCAATAGCCAAACTAATGGAATAGTGATGTTGACTACTTATTGTATACATATTACTTATATATGTTTTTGGATTCATAAAAATGATTCTGATCGATCATTCAGTAATCTTCAACTCAAAGTTGAGTTATTAAAGGTTTTAGAAAAGTTTGAGAGCGAAATCCACACTCTTCGTTGTTGTGAAATAATCAATATGAAAACGTCAGTGTATGTATGAACGATTTCAATGGAACTTGTAACAATTTAAGTGAATGTTATTATTCATAAAAGTCACTTAAAGAGTAAGTAACGCTGATAACTGGTCTATGGAGCTACAGAGAACAGATATGACAACAACAATGTATCATTTCATATCAAAGAAAATTTGATGTACACTGTTACCACAAATGAATAACTCAAAGAGATCAAAATTACGTAGAGCCTATATTTCGTTCTAGATTGATATCTTTTTGATCATCTTGATTTAATATTATCCTAATTAATTTCATTTCACTGAAAATGCATTACTTTGATCTTGATAGCTGTTTTGTTCACTTAGAGTGTTCAAAACAAAGTTGACAATTATTAAATGTGCAACAATTTCCTGTAATTTACTGAGAAATCAAAGGTGACCTAACTTTGAAATTATTAATCAAAAGCTTTTCGGTAGAATGTAGTATCTATTCAAAGTGTGTAGTATATGCTACCAAGTAGCACATTGTTTTACTACCTGGTTACCTTCGAACCCGTTGATTTTTCAATTTAATCAAGTTTTGTTATTGTAAGCGTCAAGATAAAGAAAGTCATCGACTGTAAAAAAATCCCTCTTTTCATGGAACTCGGTTATTTGTATGTTATAATATACTTTTAGTTTGTAATCAGATCAGAATTTAAATCTATTTAATATGCGATAGGCTTATCATTATGGAAATAGTAAGTCTTTAACACTGTCAAACACACAAACATAGAGGTTGGACCACACGAGATCTTGCACTAGTTCAATGTTAATTAAACCATCTTTGGGGTTATTTGATAAACCTCTTTCCATGTAATGTACATTGTGCTAAGTGATTTCATCTCGTAATCATTGGTCCTGATTTAAACACATTAGAGTAATGAACTGCCGAGCTTATTTTAAGTATCGTTTTGATGGAACAGTACCAAAAATATTTAGAAATTACCATAATTTCTATTCCCTTTGTGTTGCTTACTTGTATGTTCCCATTGTTATTTTGGACTGCAAATTGATCAATATCTTGATGGTATATGTGCGGGTTGCCTTGATATTGCCTTAAGTTACAAGTTTTATAATGGATAGTGCCTAGTTGACGAGTCCCAAATAGGACGCAACGCGCGTCTTGGATTCCATTGTTAGCTACTATCCATCTTTACTTATCATAATTTCTGATTAAAAAATTAGTTTATCCTATAATTTACCGATACTTCTTTTCACCAGACTGTTATACTTTTTCTTTTATAAATGAATTAAAATTACATTTTAAAAGATCAAAAATGATCATCAATTCATTGTGAGTGATTTATAGATTAAATGCTACCCACTTGAAATATTATTCATAGAATAAATACGAAATGTACTTAGGGATATGATAAGTCTTCTTATTGAACGCTAGATTCGGTTCATGTGCTTATCTAATAACACCCAGGCCAAATCTAAACAGCAATGTGAACACAGGAGAAAAAGCACAAAATAAGGAAGAAATCGCTTTACTCAAAAGGTTCCTTTATATACAGAAATTGCACTGTTTTTATAGTATTTTTGATGGTCTTGAGTTTCCGGAAAATTCTCGAACGCTACTAAACATAGTAGCAGTATGAGTAATCATTTAATCAGAATCTCAACATGTGACTTTTCACTTTCTAAATGATTCTGGAAAAACGTCTAGTGAATGCTGATTAAACAAGATGCTTCTCAGTCTTTCTAGAGCCCTGATTTGCTTTTTTTTCGAGGAGTTTTCTGGATCACCACAACAGGATTTTAATGAATAAACTAAAAATTTCCTTTCTATTTCATCTTCATTTATTGATAACAGGGATTATTTTGATGAGGAATTAGTGAATATAGCCTATTTGTATATTTCATAGTTGAAATCATGAGTCAATTGAAACTAAACCACCATGGAAAACCTGGAAGCACTGGACGACCGTTTCATCCTATTGTGGGACTACTCAGCAGTGCGCATTCACGATCCCGCCTTGTGAGATTCGAACCCAGGACCTACTGGTTTCGCGCGCGAGCGATTAATCGATAGACCACTGAGCCTGAATTCAACGGCTGACTATTTGTATACATTACACTATGAAAATGTACAGATATTTACTACAGAAATAACTTCATAAATCAAATAAACTTATTCATGTTGTTCATATCATACTTCAGTAAATGTGTTCCTATGCAAATACCATTAAGCTTACCATCATCTTGTCATAGATATGTTATGTCATAGAATATTATATCAGGTGTAATAAAATCATCAAGACAGAAATATGTTCCCTTTGAGCTTCTAAATTGGAAACTTACAATTGAACCATAAATTATGTTATTGTAAACTATATCTATGAATTTACATTTTGTAAAATCATAAATATATTGATTAGATCAATTTAATTGATAAAAACCTAATATACAATTGATATAATACATGAATGGGAATACATCAATGGGAAGATTCAAACAAACAATACTAAATGAATTCAAAACTTCACCCCATTGTACAAGCAAGTGGCTATCAGGACTCAGTAGCTGAGTGGATGGTGTTATGGCGCTTGGAGCGAAAGGTACTGGGTTCGAGTTCCAGAGTGAACATCAACTCTGAGATGCAGGTACATACAGCTGGCGAGTCCCAAATAGGACGAAACTCACGTCCTGGATACCACTGCTAGCACTATCCATCTTTGTTTATAATGCTTGTGAATTAATGGCTATATCGAAGCAATATGCACAGGATACACGTATACCAATAAGACACTGATCAATGGTAGTCCTAAACATCAAATAGGAACATTCAAGCAAACACTACCAAGTGAATTTAATACATGAAATGTTTATAAAAGAATGAATTATTCTAAACTAAGCTGGTCGGCAGTCTGTGCTCCATTGGGAGTAACAGTCGTAAGTAAATAAGTAAGTATTCTAAACTGAAAATAGTAACTTACTGAATATATAAATTATTTCCTCCACATCATAATACAATCTATAATTCTTCATCATTATTATTTCTATTACAGTTTCTTTTTCTTTTTCTTTTTTTTTTCTTTAAATAGACTACTGACCTTAAGAAGGTTAGGGAGAAATTAATTTTTTTAAAAATCAATATACAAATTTGATTGGTTAAAATGTTGTATGGAGAAGAACTCAAAAATTTTCATTTTAAGTTTCAATCTTTTAATAAAATGAACGAATGAATAAAGAATATACATCCTTGTTTGTATGTCATTATTATGCCTTATTTCTGAATGAATCAATGAATGAAGGTGACTTGTAGTTTGATTCAATTTTTTGATGTTTTTGTTCTTGTTGTCATGCGAGTAACACGTGGGATGAAATTTATTTTTAGGTTATATGCTGATTTTCCTTTAAGAAACAATACAGTTCATTGAACTATAATATAACAAATTATGACAGAATTATAATTTAAGATCATTGTTACTGAGGGAATGGGATTTCAACAATTAAACCCTTTTTTTATTTTGAAGTACAGAAAGAGAGTTACCTAATTGAAGGAATGTTCATTTTGTGAGTAGTATAAATGAAAATAAACTTACATTATAAAACATCATAATAGTTTGCCATATAGTATGATATTCTTTTGTTAAGAAATCAATTAAACAGAAACATAAATGAAGTAAAACTGTTCACTACAAAATCATTTAAATAAGAGAATTATTATCAGAAGGGGTTTTGTGGAGATTTCAGTATTTTCATAGTTGAAATCATGAGTCAATTGAAGCTAGAACATCATGGAAACCCTGGAAGCACTGGATGGCCGTTTAGTTCTATTATATGACTCCTCAGCAGTGCGCGAGACTGGTAGGTACTGGGTTTAAATCTCTCTAAACGGGATCGTGGATGCGCACTGCTGAGGAGTCACATAATGGGACGAAACGGCCTTCCAGTGTTTCCAGGTTTTTCATGGTGTTCTAGCTTCAATTGACTCATGATTTCAACTATGAAAAAATGTTTTTAGGGAATCAATTCGCAACAATAATATATAATATATATATATATATATAAATATATAATTACTGTGCCTAGATGGCTTTAAAATCAGCTTATCTCAAATGTCCTGATAAATGTGAGAAATAGAAAACTATGTTCATCGATAGGAAGACACAACTAAGACGGGGCACAGAATTGACATCAACACAGTCAAAGGTGATTTCTAAGGTTGATAGAAGCCTTGACTATTCGTAAATTCAAAGCCCACTTATGTGTACAGAAAGACGTTGCTGTAACTTTGAATTTTCCATAGAGACTTTTAAGTCATATAATGGACTAGTATAATGTGACAATTTCCTATTCTTTTCATGCTGTTTTGACTTTCTTTCTCGTTTATTTACAATTATCGTGGATGAACACTTCTGAGGAGTCTCATACTGAGACGAAATAGTCGTCCATTGCTTCCAGGTTTTTAGTGGTGATCTAGCTTATATTGGCTAGTGAATTTAACTGTTAAAATTATCACTTTGTTTGACTGAACTTTCGTCTATTTTTTAGACCAACTCCACCTTCGCATTGTTCTGAAAAAGCAATTACTTGCTTTAAATACATTTATTGTGTTATGTTACAGTGGCCTAAATAAAACAAAGTGATGCGGTACAAAACTTTTGCATCCGTTACAGCATAAATACTTCAAACATTTGTTGTTTATAATCAGTTAAGTCATTCATAAAGGGCTAGAATGATTTGTTTTAAGATGTCAAGTAATCGAAATAGTAGTAAGAAAATAAATCTTATAAATGAAATGCATAGTAGAAAGCTTTTATCTGAACAATGACGATAACAACAATAATACTAACATCGTGTGAAGATTACACGTAAGAATAAAGTTGTTGTCAAGATAAGTATGATAAGAAGTCCATATGAATCGAGAAAGATGAATGGATAAATCAAGCACATGGCAAGTCATATATTAACATAAATGGGATTTAGAAGGGGAATCGGTTTTCAACGTACAGTTTTAGCTATATAGTGATCCAGTTCTGGACAAAGCTAAACAAAGATGGTGAAATAAGTTAAACCTCGTTGATGTAATCATTGTAAAATTATCACAAGAGTCTAAATTACGGGATTAAGTAACCCCTGAAATTTCAAATCAAGGCACATGATTTATCTAAAAAGCTGTACAGTTAATTCAAACAACAATAGTATTACAGTTTACGAACCTCAATTCGTGAGATGATTAAAGCGTTTACGAGTGCCAAGTGTAATCATGAAGAAAGTATTTCCTGTATTACTTATGTAACAATCACTTGTTAAAGATATGCATTCAACAGTGTGACAGAACTTGGCTACGTCTGAATGAATGTCAGGCGAAAAATGGAAATATAAACTACAACGTCATACGTGGAAAATCTAACGAATAAGCTAATTCATTAAATAAACACAATAAGACATTAAAAAGTGGATAAGTCGAGCGAAGAAATATTCCTTTTTAATTAGTTCTTCATCACAGCTCTACACTAACATATATGTTTTATAAGTGAGTAAAAAGTTAAAATTATACTTCAAAGGTGATATAAACAGCAAAATAGTAACTAAACGTATACAAAAGTCTTTGAAACATAAATTTAATCCGGCAACATTATGTCCTACTTTCTTCAGCCAGCCAATAATGAGTTCACGAAATAAGGATAAATTGCTTAGTTTCTCTGCCTTCATGTGAATTTATCAATTTAAATGCTCTTGACGAGTTAATTTTATAGGGCACACAATTAGACAAATACATCGTAGTATTTCTGAACATCATTCCTTATGTTCACTTGGTATTGTTTGCTTGTATCTTCCCATTGTTTTTTAAGACCCTTGTTTTAAATCCCTTGTTGGTATATGTGCATCCTGTGCAGATCGCCTCGATATTGTTTTAAATTACAAGCTATATTTGCAAAGATGGATGGTGGCAGATGGTAGTGGTTCTGGACTGAACATCAACACCGGGATGCAGGTACATCCAGCTGATGAGTTCCAAATAGGATGAAATGCACTTGCTGGATTTCACTGATAGCTACCATCCGTCATTGCATATCATCCTTCATCGTTGACTAAAGGACAAGGGAAGGTAATGAAAAATTCTGTCGTGGCGCATCTAGTCGATTCTGGTTACTACATAGAAATGTATTCAGCATTTGATGTTATTCATAAAATTCCACCGATTCCAACCCATGATTCTGGAATCCAACTCTCACATATACTAAAACCATGAGTATACACATCAAAAGTCCAACGTTTGTAGGCAGAAAAAGTTTGTATAACCTCTGAATCTAATTTGTCCTTCGACTTGGATACAATTGCATGTTTCGAAATCTTTCTTCCTCTTCTCGTGAAATTTGCCGAACTTCGATTTTGTTCACATTTTAATTTACGTAACCTGTTTACTAATCTTATCACATAATTTTCATTGCTGTTGTTACACCAATCACTTATCATTAGTCTCACAATTAACAAAACAATTAGTATTTACATCGAATTTAAATACACATCACTACTCTTATGTAACTACTTGTAATAATTAACTGAATATGTAAATCCATGATAATTTTAATCTTAATTATCACTTTCCAAACGTGTAATTAATTGTTTATCATTCTGTTAAACAGAATCATTACCATTTAATTATTATCGACTTTCTACTGTATTGTAAATTCTATGTATATATTAGTGTAGAGCTGTGATGAAGAACAAATTGGAAAGAAATATTTGTTCGCTCAACTTATTATCATAAACAAATAATTGTTTAATATTTGAGTTCATGAGTCAATTAAAGCTAGAACACCATGAAAAACATGGAATCAATGAATGATCGTTTCGTCCTAGCATTGGACATTTCATAAGTGCGCGTCCACAATCCCGCCCGCGAGATTCAAATCCGTGACCTATCGGCCTCCTTGGTCTAGAGGATGTACGTTTGAACGCGAGACAGATAGGTTCTGAGCTTGAATCCTTCGGGCGTGATCGTGGATACGCACTGCTGAGTAGTCCCATACTAGAACAAAACCGCTATCCATTGCTTCCATGTTTTCCACGGTGATCTAGCTGTAATTAACTAATGAACTCAACTAATAAATCACTACAATCTCCACAACACCCTCTTCTTAATGTAATTGTTCGATTAAAAATTAGGAACTGAAGATGAACTACAAAAAATGTCAATAAGATATTACTGTAACTGACACACATAAAGAATTGGAGATATCACTTGACTTGTGAGAAAGAAATTCGAAAAATTATTTGAAATGACATAAGTTACTAGACACCGGCAAGTAGTATAATTCATTCACAAAAAGGAATGAAAATGAAATAGCAAACTGAATTAATAATAATAAACATAAAATGGTTATAGTAGAAAGCATGAGTGAATTGAAGCTAGACCACTATGGAAAACCTGGACGGCCGTTTCGTCCTATTATGAGACTCCTCAGCTCTGCGCATCCACGAACCCGTTCTCGCGAGCGAGATTCGAACTCAGGACCTACCAGTCTCGAGCCGAAGCCCTTAACCGATAGACCACTGAGCTGGCATCGGACGGTGTTAATGTCTAACTTCAACTGATCTACGAAGTTGAGCAACCATTCACCAATTGTCTTCAGTTGAATGACAGCTCAGTGGTCTATCGGTTAAAAGCTTCGTTTCGAGACTGGTAGGTCCTGGGTTCGAATCTCGAGAGCGGTTTCGTGGATGCGCAGTGCTGAGGAGTCCCATAATAGGACGAAACGGCCATCCAGTGTTTCCAGGTTTTCCATGATGTTCTAGCTTCAATTGACTAATGCTTTCTACTATGAAAAATACTAAATCTCCACAAAACCCCTTCTGATAAAATGGTTAGGTGACTGAAAGTTTTCTTAGTTAATCGTCATTTATATTTTTACTTTGCTCAGTAGTATACATTCATATTACATATGGTTTATAAGGAATCGCTTGTAGAATGTTGTTATTTCACATATGTTTTACCTAATTAATTGATTTCAGTTAGATAACCTTTGAAAATCATTAAATACTAAACAGTTGGTTTGTCTTACCTTCAAATTCTTTATAAATGCTTAAAAGGTATCAATGTTGAATCTACAATATTCTGCCTTGTGATAAATGTTCAAGTTTATTGATTCCCAGTCTATTCCTAATTAGTTTTCATTCATGAAGTTGTTTAGTTCACACTATTGAAC